GGGGGGGGGGGGGGGGTCCTCATAACACATATGGTCTCTTCTCTCTGTCACTGATGCAGAGGTGTGGTAGATTTTACTGCTCTACAGAGCTCCTCATAAAAACACTCTCCTCATCCAACAAGTACAGCCCTGAAATCACTCCTAACACCTGGAGCAGCTATTACCCCCCCCCCCACACACACACACACACACACACACAGTCACAAACTCATCTGTAAAGCCGAGCGTTGCAGTTCTACAGAGAGCTGTTAGCAGAGCGTCGTAAATCCGGCTTGTGTGTTAAGTGTGTTTGTGTGAGTGAGAGGGTTTGGAGAGAAATATGGATGAGGCTGAGCAAAGTGAAGTCTCCCATGGGGTTATTTATTAGAGTTGATTGAGAAAAATGGGAAACAAGCGCCAGCCATGGGGAAACTGGACAGACTGAAGGAGGCAGGGGCGGACAGATGGATGACATGCAGACTGGGTCATGTGACAAGAAAAGACAGAATGACACAGTAGCAGGGATAATGGGAGATGTGTTGGTATTAACTGGAGCAAAATAGGGGCTAAGCAGGATTAGCTGACTGACTGACTGAAAACAAACTGGAAACATCCAGATGTGGCTGCAGATGGGCCGGCAGACGGACGGAAAAAAGAGGCAAGGAGAAAAAGACATCAACAGATTGTTTAATGATTGATGTAAGCGTGCAAGCAAGCTGGTTGGAACTGCTGAGATTGTGTTCAAAGAACTGAAAAGAAAAGTCATTTAGTAAGTAGCTACACAACATAATATTCCAAATTTTCAAACTTGTTTTCAAAGATGATTTTTTTTTTTTTTTGATGGTTTACCGTATTTTTCGGACTATAAGGCGCAATATCATTGAACGGGTCTGTTTTCATACATAAGGCGCATTAAGCAAAACAAAACAGTCAGATAAGTCAAACTTTATCCAACTCATTCACAATAACTCAACATTGTTCAGATGTACCACATAAAATCAGTTCGAGGTCAGTAAGCACAACCAGAATCAATACATAAGGTGCACTGGATTATAAGGTTCACTGTCAGTTTTTGAGAAAATTAAAGGATTTTAAATGTGCCTTATGGTCCAAAAAATATGGTAACATGGAAAAAGGTTGTGTAAAACTGTAGCGTGAAAGAAACTCTTGACTTGTCCCCTTACAAAAAACAAGTACTAGTTTGATTCCTGAAGGGTCTTCCTGGACTTGCCTGCTCTTCTTTACAAGCGTGGACCCCTTGGTGCCACTGGACTTCAGCCTAAGCTTGTCCTGCTGCTCACTTGTCTGCCAACTGCCTACAACCTGCTACTATCTCATCTCCATCTCTGCAACATACATACCTGGAATCCTCCTCTCTGTGCCATTGGACCACAAGGACCCTGTACGGAAAAAAAATATTTAATACTCTACATTACCTAGAAGTCATATGTATCTCCCTCCTTTGCAGATCTTCCCAGTGCCTCCTGTAAATAAAGACCACTTCCTTTTTTTATTCCGAGTTCTGTTACTCGATTCCTCTTCTCTGGGTGTTTGTTGTTGCAATTATAAAAGCACCCTGGATTTTCCTGTAGAAACAAAGGAATTTGTCTAAACTAACTAATAAACTTAGGAGTTTATGTTTTAAAGTAAATCAACTCTCATCTGAACTGATGCATTAGGACATAATAATAATAACAATGTGTTGTTGTGACATCATTGCATGTTCCCATACAATGGCGAAATTGGATCTCTGCATTTAACCCATTCACCACCAGGTGGTGCAGTGGACAGCTATCGAAAGTGCCCGTGGAGAATATTGGGGATAAGGTGTGCTGCTCAGAAGACTATCTTTTCTTCGTGTCTCTCTCTTTCTACTGAAGACACTAGATGACAAAAGGCTCAACTCTGGTGCTCTTCAATGACCCTTCCCCTTTCTCGTTTCTCTTTAAAATCTGTTTTAACCATCCAAAACCACGTTTTTTGTATTGTTAAAAGCAGCTTAGCTGAGAAGCTAAGCTACGAGCTAAGCTAATAGTCCGACCTCGGTAATAAACCTCCGTCTTGTCGAAGTTCCAAAATTCAAGGTTGAAACTCGTGCCTTTGTGTAAAAAGTTGTTTTTCTCTGTGAAAAGAAGCTGAGAACTTGTTTACTGATTTGTTACTTAAAAGCGTTGTGTGAAGAATGCTATGCTAAAGAGCTCAAATCACCAAGTGTCCGCCATGTCACCATGACAGCCCATGTCATGTCAAGGGCCCTCCCTCCCATTTTTCCTAAAGAGACAGTCGCTCAATTAGCCATCCTTTGGTTCAAACTGTCTTATACTGCCATCAGGTGGTCAAAAAAGCTACTACACATCAAACAAATCAACATTTCTTCTAAAATGTGACAATTAATTATTGTTAAATTTCAAACAATATTATCGTTTATCGCAATAACTTCTGAGACAATTAATCGCACAGCAAAATTTGTTATCGTGACAGGCCTATCAGAGACACCATGAGATGTGCAGTGACTGGGGATTGAGCCTGGGACTTTCAGGTCCCAAGTTGGCTGCCCTGCCTCTATACCATCTTGGCCCCCATATGCTAACCTCTCAAAAATATGGAATCATTCAAAAGTGCTTTTAATGTCGCTGCAGTAACAAACCAAAGTCTTCCACTGAGTAAAAACTGAGTTAATTAGACAATAACTGTATAGTTATCTTAATCACTGAATAAAATAGCAAATTCATTAAACAATATCTGCTAAAAGTTTCATATCTTAAAATAACTGAATTGACACCAGTTTACGAGACGGGTTACAACTTTTCACATTAGGTGAAAATTCAAGAATAAATACAGTAAAACTACCATATTTAAAATACAAGTTTTGCTATAAAACTTTAAACCTGATGGACTGAAAGTGCAGAGTGGAAGAGAAATGCCTCCCTGTAATTTATTCATCCATTAGGTAATACTGCCTTTTCTTAAAAGGATGGAGCTGGAGCTGGTCTCAGCTGTCAGTCCAATCCACCTGTCAGTCAAAGGTCTTTGTGCTGGTGGAGAACATTAAAGTAATTGTTAGAGCAGGTACAGCAGTGTGATGTGAAGCTCTTAATCTAAAATCATACAGCTGTTTATCATGCAGTATTAATTGCAGTAGGGAAATTATTCTATTTTCACTGGAACAACATGAAATATCTTAAAGCTTTGTAATGTTTTCAGTACTTTTTCAAATGTTTTTCTCTCTGCTATATTTATGTGCTTTGAGTTTGGATGGCTTTAAGCTGCAGAGATTGAACAGACGGACCAACTGGTGAGTCTGGCAGAGAGAACTGCAAAATGCATTTTGTTTCTAGTGGGTCTTTCCTGCAGTATGTAAAACGTCTGACTCATTAGAAAATATTTGGGAAAAAACACAGTAAGAAACACTACTTAATATAGAGTGTAGAGAAAGAAAGCAAAGAGATAATTATCACCCGAAGGAGAGACGAAGGCTTTAATGTTTGTGCACCTGTTCCTTTGTATGTAGCGTTCATAAAATACCTCGTTAATTCAAGATAAAGTGATCTTAGCAAACAAACTCAGAATCTTCTGGTTCTATTCTTGCACCATCACCACTGTTTATGAACTTCCCTCCATCTACATATCTTAAAGGCTCTTCTGAAAAAAACACCTCTGTTTTGTGTGCAAGCTTAGCATCATGTAGAGTTGCACTCGGGTCCAGAAAATTCGATCCAATCCGACCCCAGCTCTCAGCCATCAGCTCCGAACCCGACTCAATACAACAAATTAACAGTAATTAGAGGTCCGAACCCGAAAAGAAAACCTGACATCTTCAATTAAGCTTTGACTGCTTATACCACCGACTATTATTAATGGTTGGCGGACTTGCGCGGCTGAGTAAAGGGGGCAGAAGATCGGAGCTGAGGAGCTCTCAAAGTGTCTTAAATGCTTCCCCTTCTTCTGCCTGCATTGGACCTCGCTCTGACATGTCATATATTTTGTGATCTCACCTGTTTGGGTCTCGGCTGAGCGCGTCCGCTGAGTGCAGCGGTTGAATGAACGTCCATTTGGGCTGACGGATCACTGGCAGTAGTACATCTGAAGCTTAACTGAACTTTTTACCTCTTTCAACCAGCGCATGGTGAAATGGCCGCATGCAGCAGGTGAATGTATGGCAAGCCATGTTGGCATATAACTGTCTCGTTGGTCGTGCGCGTCGCTGACGCAATAAAAAGCCCGACACTGACCCGGCCTGCACATTAAGCACATGATTATGGCCCGGTCTGAATCCAGGGTGGGCGGGGCTGGGCTCCAGATTCAGGTTAGAAATGACAGCTCTAATGCCATGTTAGTTCTGGCATTTGCTGACGGTGGTGGGGGGTTAGGATTGTGAGAGAAGCAGAGCACTACGTCTGTAACATCTTAGCTAGCACGTCTGTATTGTGTGCCGCTAGCTTAGCACTACATTAGTTTCGGCAGTTGTTGATGCAACGGGGGGAGGATGCTTGAGAGAAGCAGAGCATGCACTATTCACACAAGGAGAGCTGTTGGTCAGGCTACTTCTTGTTGCTCTCTAAAATGAATCAAGTGTTTACTTATGTAGGTAAACGTAGATGTTTAACAACTCGTTACAATACACCAGAATGCAGGAAATGGCGTCTACTTTATTGAAAATGTTCTGGTGGAGTACACCCCCCCACCCACACACACACACACACACACATATTAAAACTGCTTTTGATGCCAATGCAGTGAACCACCACAATTTCTGCTGTCTTTAATCTAATCTATGTGTCTGTTAGCAAAATGATTCAAGAACCACTAGATGTATTTTAATTAACTCTTTCATAAAGTAAGCATTGGGTATGCACCTACCACTAAGAAGACCACCACAGCTAATCCAAAATAGCCAATAGGAAACTTATTGTTACTCTGTTTTACGTATATTGAGCTAAAACTTGGTGTGAACGAAGCTGATGGTCATTTCCAGCACATACTCTGAGGCTTTAACTCACTAATTTGAATATTCTGCTCAAATTTTGTATGATAGTAACTGATAGTTTTATGCAACACATAACTCAAGTGCCAATTAATGGATCCCATAAAACAGTGCAAGGTTTTACACAAAATTACACAGTATTATTTTCAAGGTTTGACAACATGGGTTCTCATCATATAATCTTAGTTTAAAACTCTGGCATGAAAGGTGGCAGCCAATATGCAAGCCTTCAAGGGGGGGCTTTAGTCTTGACTGAATAATTTACTTGAGCAAAAACCTCTGAATCTCTTTAAAAAATTGTGCTAAATTCAGTTTTGTCCACTTTTTGCTAAGTTCTGCTGCATATGACCTCACATAAATGAGTGCAGAAGCACCATGTGGTTTTTTGTGTTGCTGACAGATTTGTGGCTGCTTTGCCATCTGATAATGACTCACAACCCCCCAGGAGATGCTGCATGCATGTTAGATATTCTGTTACAGCTTGGAATAAGTGTAGATGAGGGGTGCTTGTTTAATTGTGCTGTCTTACAGCCAGATGCAATAATTCACACCCATACAGTTCTGTTCACACTTTGCTGACAAGACAGCGGTTTTCTGTTTATTTGAATGTCTAATGAAATCACAGTGGTTAGGTTGGGGGGGGGGGGGTCTGCAAAGAACTGTGAAGTTGCCTGTTTAAGCGACATGGTGGAGTGGGGGGTGTTTTACCTTTCTGGCTGAGGTTGGACAGGTCTGTGATGATCTTGCTGACCGCCTTCCTCTTGTTCGAAGGGACAGGATCTGCAAAAGGCATGGCTGCTAGACAGAAGAACAGTGTTTTTAGATTCCCTGACATTTTTACTTTACATAAAATAACATCAGTTAAAACAAATATGTTTTTGATATAGCTTATACTGTGTCAATGTGTTTGAAATAAGATTATTTTAAAAGTTGCACTGCTTGACAAAACAGAAAAGTAAAATTTCCCACGTTATAATCGTACCTTGAACTGATCATGTGATTGTTTCCCTCAGCTCAGAGTATTTTAAACATTCTCTAGATAAGTATTGCTCGCTGCAAAAGGTTTTCGTGTTTTTATGGCGCTTTAGTCCTTTTCCGTATTTATATCACAAAAATAGCAGTTTTACAAATAGGGACCTAAAATTTGGTGCAGTCGCCGCTGAGAGTGGTCCCAAACAGAAGTTCTGAGCTCTAACTGATCACAAATCTTTTTTTAAACTTTGCCTTTAACTATTGGAGTTAAAACTGCATCCGTTAGCAAAAATATCTCATGCATTATGTACTCCAAGCACTATTAAATCAGAGTGAAACTGTGCACTTATTATGCTTTTTCAATTTTCAACCAAAATGGCTGCAACTTTATTTCAACACAAAATCATCTCAGGTGAAAACTCCATGAGCGATATGCACTATAAAATTTGTCCTTTTTTTTATTAATGTTGTTATTCTCCAGTAATACTGCCGCCTAGGAGTTTTGGGAAGTTATTTATGGGTTGTGTATAGCCCAAGTAATAAACTTGTTATTTATTAGTGTTTATTGTTGTCAAAACCTATTCTGCAGTATAGCTTAAATACACAAGGCACACTTCTTTTCTTAGTCTTTCCGCCAGTGCTGGTTTGGTTTTGATTCCATTTTTATCTCAAAATATCATATTTATTCTCCTAATTTCAACTTTAATTTCAAATTTCTTACTTAATACTTCCTTTTTTAAATTTCCACATCATTCTAAACATTTTGATTAATCTAGACCAGGGGTTCCCAACACTGGTCCCTGAGGAACACCATCCTGCATATTTTAGTTGTACCTCTGCTCCAACACATGATCTGAAGGAAAAAGTGATTAATAGGCTTCTGCCGAACTTAAGGAAGTAATTAAACCACTGAATCAGGCGTGTTGGAGCAGAAAAACAACTACAACATGCAGGATGGTGTTCCTCAGGGACCTGGGTTGGGAACCACTGATTTACACAGTACAAAACTGAAAAAGTTAAAAAGAATCTTTACCTCTTTTTTTCCCTATTGTCACTCCATTTAAGAACGACAGGAACATCTTTAATACAAACTAAAATATATAGTATAAAGGCAGCTCTAACTGTTTTTAGCGGTTACAACAAGAAGAAAGGACTATTTCCTTCAAGGAGGTGGTGAATGGTGAGTCGACAAAACCTTTTATAAGCACAGGAAGTAGCTATGTCTTTCAGCAGCTACATTATAAAAAGGATAAATGGTTGTTTTCGCCAATCAACGCAGTACGGAAAAAGCATTTCCTTTGTGCATTAAGCTTTATTTTTAATTCCTTTTTACATTTTCCTATAGAACACTTTGTTCCGCCTTTCATTTTTGTTACGTCCCATCAATAAAACCAGTTTGAACTGTAAGTGAGACTTGATCTAAAACTAAAAACAGTTGCTTCTATATTTTATTTGTTTGGTATCTGATAGAATAAGATCCGACACAACAAGTGTGTGAAACCTATCGACTACCATCTAAGAAGACTCGGGCTTATTCCCCGAGAGATTTGGTTCATAATGAAGGTGCTTTCTTCTCAGATTGGAGTGGGCTTCAGCAACAACCTCAGCGGGTTCCTTAATCAAGTTGGGCTCACTTTAAACATGGCGTAGAACCCCTGCGCACCCTTGCAGACACTAATTCCTAGTGCCAGCTTTAGTCTGCTTTGACTAAGCGCTCAGACGGGGTGCAGGCAGTACGTCGCTGTCAGTTGAACAGGTCGAAGGCAATTATATAAACCTGGAGGTGAGTCCCAGCGCTGGAGAAGAAAGCAGAAGGGCCTGTCTACAGGGAGGCAGTTAATGTAATTGCTTTTCATCCACTGTAATTGAAGCTCATTTCCTAGCTGGGCATTCTGTCCTGCGCGAGCTATTTTTATGAGCACATGTTCTATAGCTCTGCGCTGAGCGTGACAGTAATCAGCACAAAACATACAAGTGTGCCACCAGCACACGCTAGATTTGTGCTCAGACGGCTTCTCTCTTGTGACTAGTGAGTCGGGGGTGGAAGGATTAATAAACTGGAGATTACAGGTGTTTTTGAACGACGTGGGGAAATGTACGGTGGAGGAAGTGGCGGTTGCTGCATGCGAGGGCCTGGGTCCAGTTACCGCCTCTCTAAAGAGAAGAGGCGCCCCTGTCCCCCTTTAACTGGCCTGTTTTAGCTCCAGATAAATCTCGAGAGGACAGCTGAGGAGGAAGGACATAAGTCAGCACATTCTCAGATACATCCATCCCTGCAGACTAAAAAGTCCTCTGCGGAGGGCCACGTTCCTTGACGACTGCTGCCTTACGTAGATGAGGTGAAAAAAGTCCACCAGCTTTTGATTTCAGTTTGGTTCACATCATATTTCAGCTCTAATTAACTAATCCATGCGGTACAATTTAGACGTGTAAAGGCTCTCTCTCACAATTATAGTGGATTTTGTCAGAACATTCTGTTCAGTCACCCAAAGGCCCACAAAGGCCACGTACAGCCAACATCTGATGAACACAACTGTCAAAATGTACACGTATGTCTACCTAAATTTAAATTTAATCTCAGATCATTTGATAATTTATTGATTGAGTGTCAGATCATTTGTAAGCATCAAATACACCTGTGAGAAGGTTCGGTCTGGATTATCAAGCTCTCATCTCTCCTGAGTCTTACCTGTGCAACGTCAGGTATCCCACAGGAAGGTCCCAGATCAACAGGGTTCTCCAGTCCCAGAGCTTGTGTGGTACTGTCTGCCCTCTTCTATGCCCCGCAAGACAGTGAAACCCAATCAGCATGGCTGCTCCGGTGCTGAGGACCTGGCCTCGGTGAGGGGGGGTGAAGGGGACAGAGTGTGAAAAAGATTGATGGGTACAAAGACCGGTGAGTGGGCAGATTTGAGCTCAGAACTTGTTAAAAAGGAGTCAGTCCAGATAGAAAGAACTGTTTTGCCTGTATTTGTTAGTTTAAAATGGCTGGAAATTTAAACTGCAATAAAAAAATGGATTACTTGGGAATATCGAGGGAATTTGCTGTAGTCATCCCTGAAAAGAAGAACAGCTGGAAGAAGAAGATATGTTTTTAAATTCATCCATCCATCATCTTTACCCGCTTCTTCCTTTTCGGGTCATGGGGATCACTGGTGCCCGTGTCCACCCATCACTGTTCGAGAGGCGGTGGGCACCCTGGACAGGTCGCAAGTCCATCATTCACTTTGTCCCTCGCACCAAATTAATTTAAACAAATATTTTCCCACTGAAACACTTTGAGATTTCTGATTCCTACAAAAATATTGTTCTCGTTAAAATTAGTTTGATTTGTTTTGGTCTTCTAATGCTATCCAACAAAGTTCAGTCAAGTCATCTGGACAGTTTCTTTTTCTTCTTCTTTTTTTTTTTTTTTTTTTGTTGAGACGTTTTGGCCAAAAATAAAAAAGAAAGAAACCATCCAGAGGACCTGAATGAACTTTGCTGGATTTTCTACCTGGATTACTGAGCATGAACTTTGATGCTTTGAACCACTTTGGCCGTGGCTGCCTCATAGGAGTCGACAGGAGAGAGGGCGGGCCCCAGAAATCATCTTATCACCAGCAAACTGGTTGTTCCACTATATGAGTGTGCTGCTTGTGGGACTCAGTTTGATGTGGCTCCTCGGACTGATGAAGTCCTTTGGATGAAGGACGAAACGACTCAACCAAAAAGAAAGAAACCGTCCAGAAGACCTGACTTAAATTTGTTGAATTATTTTACCTGGATTATTGAGCATGAACTTTGATCTTCTCATGCTACTTTTGGATTTTGCTAGCCTTTTGCTAATTTAAGCTTTAGACAGCTTTTTGCTGCTTTAATATTCCAGTATGCTTTTTGAGTTTTTTAGCTCTTAGCATGCTTTTGGCTACTTCGTCATTAATTTGCTTCTATTAGACTTTAGCAAGCTTTTTGTTACTTTTAATTTTAACTAGCGCTTTCTTTATTTGATCTTTTGGCTGGTGTTCTATTTTGTTTGTCTTTACCAGCTCAGTTTTAGCTTCTTTAGCAATTTTCAGCAGTCAGCATCTGCTCTGCATTTTCACAGAAAATGTCCTTTCTTTAGCCAGACTTGACCCAAACTTGTTTGCTTTCCCTTTTATTTGCTTGGATGTTTATCTTATTTGAAATTGGTGATTTGATTGAACTTCGTCGTTTCAGACACTATCTTTGCAGAACACTTTAAGTACAACTACAAAAAAAGAAGACATTAGCTATATATTTTGATTTAACGGATTTCAAACCTCTATAGTAAAAATACAAAAAAATACCAATAATCGTGTTAATATCTGTGGAACATTGAAATGCTAACTATTTCTTTACGACTGAACTTAACTTACATGAATCCAAAGCAGCTCACGAGGACACGTTCTTATGTTCCAGTCCAGTTTGCAAATATGTGTGTGGAGGATATTCATGTGTTTTATAGGAAGTTCACTAAATTTTATATCTTTGCCTGGATTGTTTTCCAGTGGAATCAAAGGAGTGTTGAGATTATTTTTGGGGATCCTCAAACTTCAAATTCTTTAATTACACTGCAAATGGACTGGGTCTTTTGATGGCATGAGAAACTAAATGAAAGGACTGGTTTTGATGGCCTTTGCTAGACTGTGTCCCCCCAATTCTGATATTCTCTTGATCCGTCCTCCAAGCAAACCCTTGGACATGAAGAACTACTCTATTACTTTATTTATTTTTTTGCACAGGTGCACATTGATGGTCAATTATACTCTATATTTTAGGGCTTTTTAATAGCATTACTCTAAGCCTTTTGATTTGAACTCACAATGTGACATTATCTTTAAGTGAAAAATAAGATTTAAAAAAATAAAAAAGTAATAAAATAAGGTCTTTCTTGGGTGTTTTACGTAAGAAAAAAAATATATTTGTTGTTTTTTCAGCTTCCATCATCTCTAGTTGACTTTCAGCTAGTGTTGTCGGACAAACGCTGTAAAACAAACTTTTGTATCGTGTTTTTGCTAGTGTGAAATTAACTTGTTCTTAGAAAGTAAGAATGAAGAATAGCAACTTGTCTGAATACACTAAATGTACTTTAATAATCTGTGCCTACAGCAGTTTATTTATTTGTCTTATCTATCAAAAACTTAAACATAATCTGTAATTTTAGTGCTCAACTTCACAGATACAGCCTTAAAAATCAACAGTTGAATCAGAACACAATTCAGTTAGTTCTTTTTAGGTAATTTTTTTAGTCTTGTAATCTTTCACAGTGCTCTTTGATGGCTTGCAATACGTAGACATTGTTTTTATGCAAGTACACTGAATGCAAAAAAAAAAGATGTTGTACATGAATAAATTTTACACACAAACCACATTCATATTCTTCAAAAACATACATTTGAATCTGAAAACCAAAAATAAATAATATTATATAGAAAACTGAGTTTATTACATTTTAATTTATTTGGTTTTACATGCTTTTTGTCACTAACATCATAGTAACAATTCAATATAAGTTTGCTCGGTCAGTTTACATTATTGCACCTTACACAATAATAAAGCTCTGTGTTATTAGTAAATTATAGTTTAAGGGTTAGGGTATTAATTTTATTTGACAAAATGGCCATTTCTGCTGTGGTCATGAAAAATTAAAAAGGTCAAGTGGCTTGGAGATTAGTAATACGTGTATGTGTACAAGTCAGTCAAGGAATCAATATTGATTTAACACCAGATTTGTTTTTACAAACATTTATGAAGTAAAAAAAAAATCAGTTATTAAGTAATTAGAGAATTATAAAGAAGGTCAATCTTCCCAAAATTATAATCCACTAATAACATAAGATTGAGAATGACCACAGCCTCTCTCCTTTTATCCCTGACCCAAAACGCTCAACCCTGCTGACCCAGAAACATGGTGACAGGATGTACGAGGCTCTGTGTGCCACCACTTCCTCTTTTCTCTCCATCACATTTCGAAAAAGCCATCAGAATTAAGAGTTTAGCATCGCGCCAAATAGAGATTAACTCTAAAAATAGGTGAAAAGGGTTGTGTGTGTGTTCTTTGCTGGAACCAACCCTCTGTGGAGACCAGCAATTTGATGGACCAAACACTGGACCCCATAAGGTGAAGTTTATTTTAGATACAAAACTTGGTTTTAGGATTAGGGGTAGAAATCAGTAAATGTATTCATAAACATTTATTATTAATAATAATAATAGATTTTGTTTGCATTTGTTTTTCCTTCCAGCTCCACAGCAGAAAAACTTACCTTTAGACCCGCACATAACTAAAGTTAGCCCCATCTGTCAACTGATCCTAGTCAAGGGTCAAAGGTTAGATCCCTCTCTGTGGCTTTGGTTGGGTTTCACAGCTCCAAGAACATTAAATGGATGTCATTAAGCTGCTTTGAAATGTAGGCCGACAGTCCTCCAAGAACAATGTCAACAGGAGCAAACGAACGCTGAAGCTGAAATGGCAAAACTAAAATAAGAGAACGATTAAAAAATATATATATATATAAAAAAAATATATATACAGTATTCAGTATTCCACCAAGCTTCTTAGGATGGCAGATATGCTCTGCATTTACAGCTAAGATATAGATGAATAAAATAAAAGATGCAGGGATCATTGTGAAAATGCTGATGACATTCTGCCATAAATCCTGAAATGAAAAAAGGAATAAACTGCAGTGCAATAAAAAGCCTGGATGACGAGTCCTGCAGTGCCTCCATGTGGTGAAAGTTTAAACACAATCAAAACAATTTTCTTTATAGCTCAACTTCTGCTTCTGACATTAATTTTAAAACTACTTTGATCCACAAATCAGGAATGTTCAAAAAAAAAAAAAAGAAAGAAACTAATGAGTGGAGGAGGAGATGGTGTGTCTCCATGTGGAAGTGGGTGGTGACATAGGGAGAAACAGAATGACAGCTGAGGTGAGTCATGTCTATTTTTATTCAAGCCCATGTTCCGGAGGAAAATAATCGCGGACACGTTATACACATCTCATGTTTCATATCATCAAACAGGAAACCAAATCTGCAGCGGAACGATTTACCCTAAAATTACCGTCCAAAAACAAAGCACACCTTCAAAAATCTATTCCACCTAACTCAAACACTTAAAAACATCTACAAGAGTGAAATGTTGTTAGTAAAACAACTTGTTTAATATGTTATGGTCAGATACCAACAGTATAGTCACAGAATGTTTAAATATTTCAATGTCTAATTATCGAAACACATCAAACATTTTTTTCTGTGCTCTTCATCTCTGCTTCCTGTTGAACTTTTCTCATACTGTATCCCTCTTGAAGTATTCTTCTCCTAACACATCCTCTATTCCTCTTTTTTAGGGTTAAACTTTACCTTTTGAATAATATTTACAGATCACTATTTCATTTTCCCTCATTCTTTTTGCACAATCACCCTGCTCCTTAGGTTTCTATTCTAAAGTTCTGTTCTCAGACGTATGAATCCCTTGTAATATTGCTCAACCAAATAAAAGAGATATAAACAAGATTAAACAAAAAAAAATGCTACATGTGAGGCTAATGCAATAATATCTTGTGATAAAATGTGAATGATTTAACCTCCTTGCTGAAATAATAATAATAAAAATAATGGACAGGCAAACTTTCCAGAGTATACCCTGCCTGCCCATTGTTTAGTGGGATCGACACCAGCCCTCCGTGACTCCAAACTGGACTAAACACAAACAGAAAATGAGTGATTACAATACAACTAATAAAAGGTCAGTTAAGAAGAAAACTTAGCTAAAATCACATGGATCTTTGCTCCCACTGAGCACTAAATTGTTCCACCCAGATGAAGCTCTGTTCAGTGCATAGTGGATCCTGGACGCCATACAGAAGGCTGCAGACCCAGGTTAGAAGTGCTGAACCGAGGCCTGGGGACCCTGGTGGTTTGAGAGCTGCTGCATCCCTGCTGAGAGGAACTCGTGGGACCCAGAGGACTTAGATCTGGGGCACTTTTAAAATGCTTGTTGGCCTGCGGAGCAGCTGGGGACTGAGGTTGGGAAAACGTAGGAGGCTGAACTGGCTTTGGAACAGGCGGAGAGGAGAAGGTAGGAAGCTGAGGGAGTGGGACGGTAGGGGCAGGAGGCACTGGAGAAGACAGTGGGGAGGAGGCCCATTGAGGTTGGTATGGCTGGGGTGAAGGATGTTGGTTTTGGAAGGGGGTGGCACCAATGGTGGGTGGAGAAAGTATGGCATCAGAGTACCTCAGTGGTTCCCCAAGTGTGGTAGCAGAACGGGGTACAATAACTTTGGGAGTGGACATCGTGGCTGTTGGAGGTGGTGTTGAGAATCGCTTTACCTCATAAACTCGTGCTGTCTTCGAAGGACCACCTCTCTGCTGACTATGGTTGGAGGTGTCCTGGGGAACACCGCCTCCATAGCTGAAGAGGGAGGAGTGAAGCTGGTAGGGCTGGTGGTTCATCACGTCCACAGGCTTGATGCCTCCTTTCTGCCCTTTAGTTCTCGTTGTCCCAGAATTTTTCACTTCAGGTTTTTTCTGAGCCTTTGGAGGGCAGGAAGGAGAGAGGAGGGGGTTGTAGTTAATGGGGGGTGGAGCACGGATGTTAGATGAGTACTTCCAGGTGGCAGGGAGGGAAGGTGTGGGTGAGGGCTCCCTGGTTTGAGCAGGTGAGTAAGGGGCTGCAGCAACGGATGGCGATCGCTCCACAACATATCGATCCATCCGGTTCTGTCTTCTAGCAAACAGCTGACCTCCTTTTCCTGCAAGCTGAAGTACCTGAGGGGCCTGTGGTTTAGGAGCAACAGGTGGTGGTCTGGGTCCTCGCTGAGCCTGCATGAAGTTACAGGCCTCTGCCCCAAGCCTGAGCCAGTCCTCTTCAGGTCCAGATTCATGACCAGCTTCTGTGCTGGGAGCGACGGTTTCAACACACGGACTTCTCTCAAAGTGGTCATCCATGTTCTGAACCATTGACAGCAAGTCTGGATTTGGAGAAACATCTTTGCTTTGGAGTGCACTGAACATTGGCTTCTTGCTACTACGACAACGAGCATCGCGCAGAATGCCGGTGCGAGCAGCCGGGACCGAAATGCGTTGCTCACGTGTAACCAGTGGGTCATTAACAGGAGCACTAGGAGGAGGTGTTGAAGTCACTGTCATGTCATTGTAGGAGTTGGCAGATGGGGTTAGAGAGGGTTGGTTAGCAGAAGAAGTAGGGAATGAGACCCGAGTCAAACCTGAAGGGGTATTTGATGGGAAAATGTGAATAGGAGCTGGAATACAAGTGGGAGGAGATGAATGAGGAACAGAAAGAGAATTATATGGTGGAGAAAAGGTTTGAGCAGAGTGCAAGACTGGGCTTGAGGGAGAGGCATGCACTGCAGGAGGTGGATTTGTAGAAGGAGGCTGAGAGAAAGGTGTTGACACAGAGGAGGGAGGTGAAAGAGCTGATGGGGGTGAGTTAACAGAGGGGGAAGTGTTACTGTTATTTCTTGGAGGGATATAAAGAGAAGTGCTAGACACCGCCCTCCTCGCATCTGGCCCTGACGAATGTTGAGTAGGCGAGATTGTCACCATGGAGATTGCTGCCACAGGTTTGGGTGCCATGGTTAGAGGTGTGGGTTTGGGTTGGGGAGGGCGAAACATCACGGAGGTTACAGAGGCATGAGAAGGGGATGAGCCAGGGGTGAAGGGGCGGGCAGTGCGGTTAAGGACACTGGGATTAGGATTAAAGGTAGAATTATTGTGCATGTCTATGCTTGAGCTTGGACTAAAATCAATGTTAGGAGTATTGTTGGAGTTGCTATGGGGCCCATTTTGAGTTTGATTGGATGCCTCAGAGGTTGGGCTCAGGAAAACACTCCCCCGACTTACAGCAACTGAACCCCCATTGGTTAGAGCCACAGCTAGAGGAGACATGTCGTTTTTGATCGTCTGCTTCTTGATGCCTCTTTCAATCCGTGAGTTGTGACTGGGTGAGCTTTCCAACCCTGGGTGTTGATTTTCAAAAGTCTCAAGTCCTGGGGTTGGATAGGCTGAGATGTCTACTTTTGTGCTACAGTTTGGTGTTGTTGGAGTAGTTGGTGTGATTGATGGACAGGCAGAGCTTCTCCTTTCCAGCAAATCAAGATAGCCAGAATCCCATGTAGAGTCAAAAGAGCTAGAGAATCCCTCTTCCTCTACTTCTGAGCCACTTAGAATTAAACTTCCTCCTTCGTCCTCTGTCTCTCCCTCTGTTTCCCCTCCTTTGTCTCCCTCAGCTTTGCCAAAGCAGGTTAGTGTGTACTTCTTGGCTCTCTGCCTTCGTTTCTTGAACATAAGCACCCCTTTCGAATTGGGGTTGGGAGCATCAGTCAGCAACGACGCAATAGAGCGACACTTAGATCGAGCTTCTTTCACCTGTTTCTCCACCACGCTCTCTCCACGTTGCAACTCTGTAAGACAAGACATAACAAAAAGAGCAAGATACCAAAATAAATGTGCTGAAATGAGCAGAAACACAGCAGAGCGGTGGTAATGGGCGTTCTGATTAATACAAAACAAGAAACAGGCAACAGATAATGGAAGCAACTGCTGGTAGGGGCTGATTTCTACGATTTAACCACAGCAAGGAACAGGAAGGAGCATTACCAGTGACAAACAGTATTATGGATTTAAAACAAATAATTATTGCTGATCTTCAAAAGTTGTCACACTTTCTGGGAAAGTTGGATCCCACTGTTTGCCCTTCCCAAATTGTGCCTGTGTGCCTGCTTTTATTGCTCCATTTTTGAGGACAAACAGGAAAATACTTAACATTTTAGCTGGTAGACATACTAAGCATATAAGCTAGTTTCAGAACAGAATCAGAGACGTATTTCAGTCATCTAAGACAATGTGATATTCTCAGAAATTATGGATTGACAATCATCTTTGTGGCCTTTATTGTGTGAGTTTATATCTTTTCTTGTTCAAGACTGTCTTTTTGGTATCTTGACTTGTCTCTCATTTATATATTTACAACAAAATATAAATATATCCAGCCTCTCCATACACAATATTTATACAAGTTTTGGGAACTGGACAACATCAAATAAAGTTCAGTGGGGAAAAAAGTAAAGAGTAAAGTAAAGGCATGGCCTCCCTTGGCAAGTATACCACTCATTACCTTTCATACCAGACTTTTAGTAAAATAACTTTTTTGTTGAGAAATGACTGGCAAAACTCACTGTTTACCAGTCGAGCTACATTCCTACCCTCACCTATGGTCATGAGCTCTGGCAAGTGACCAAAAGAATGAGATTGTGGATACAGGTGGTTGAAAAGAGTTTCCTCCACAGGGTAGCTGGACTCCCTTAGAGATAGGGTGAGATGTTCAGTTATCAGGAGACACTCAGAGTAGAACTGCTGCCCCTCCACATCGAGAGGAGCCAGTTGAGGTGGTTCAAGCATCTGATAAGGATGCTCCCAAGGCACCTCCCTAGGGAGGGATTCAGGCAAACCCAACTGGGAGGGGACCCTGGGGAAGACCAAGGACACGCTGGAGAGACTATGTCTCTCAGATGGCCTGGGAACGCCTTGGAATATTCCCAGAAGAGGTGGAAGAGGGAGCTGTGGAAAGAGATGTCTGGGCCTTCCTGCTCAATCTGCTGTCCTGGTGACCCGACTTCGGAACAAGCAGAAAATTCATTCATCCTTAATTTATACAGGTTAGTCTCATTGAGCCTCGAGGACTCATTTACAAGAGAGACCTGTAAGATGATGGATGGATGGACGGACGGACAGACGGACGGATGGATGGATGGAAATAACTGAATTGTAGCCAATTTGGATAAACCTTAAAAATAAAATAATGCATGGTCATGCTTAGACTATGTATTGTGAACTCTTATCTACTACCCCATCAAATCTTAGCTCAATATCTGTACACTCGACTGAGTTATAGCAGTTTTTGTATTGCTAATATCCAATAGCTGTGCATTCAATGATTATTCATTCAAATTTGTCAAGTAATTTGTGAAACATTCTAACAGACAAACTGGGTTGACTCCAAAACTCTATACTAAAGTTTTAAGCAAATATCTTGTACAATAAGTAGCACTTGGAGCATGGGTTGTGTATGACTCTTAACTTCAACCACACCAATTTTTTTTATACAATATTTGTAAAATTGACTAAATTATAGCCATTTTTGTGTTTAATATCAGTTGGCTGGGGTGAATAGCTTTATTTGAATTGGCTCAAAACTGAAAGCTTCATTAAAATCTGTCAAGTGTTTCATGAGATATTTTCCCAACGGACAGAGTTGACTGCAAATAGTTAAAGGCAAAAATTTAAACAAAGATCTTGTGCAATCCATTAGTGCTCACAATATGTTGAGTGTATGTTAGGTTGATTGGTAATTTTAATTGTCACTAGGTGTGAGTGAGGGTGTGGATGGTTGTTTGTCTCGTTTGTCTCTACGTGTCCCTGTGATGGACTGGAGGCCTGTTCAGGGTGTCCCCCGCCTCTCGCACAGTGACTGCTGGATATGGGCACCAGTGACCCCCGCAAACAGAAAAGGAAAAAGTGGGTAAAAACAATGGATATATGGATGGATAATATTATATTGTAATATATTTAAAGAGATAAAGTGTCTATGGTTTGTCTGTGAGTTAAACATGGTTCAGTGTTCCTACGAAAAAATGCAGTGATGAAAATGATTCTGTTTTGATTTACGTGTGTTGACTAAAACCCCAAAACATTAGAAGATTGATGTTTCTTTTGTTTTATTTTTTATTTAGATGGTGGCTAAGAGAAAAATTTTCAACAATCAATCCAAATGGTGTCAAATAATTGCCAAAACCTCCAACCTAAGTGTATCAATTGAATTTTTAATCGGTCGCAGTGCAATAAATGCTTTAAACCCCATACAAATCTATTCAGTACATGTTGACGGAATATTTCAGCCTGGACCAAAGAAGTGTAGCAATAAATCATACACTTTTATCCAAAAAGCCTCGCCACATAGAGTTTAAAAAGATATTTTACAACTTGCAAACATCTGCCCATTGATTCCATTGAGTTTTGAGCCTGTTATTTTTATTTTTATTTTATTTTTTTATATAAGTAATACATTAAAATGAAATCCATTCAGTCTAAAACAAATTTTCCCACTAGTCAAAACTGTTTAAATAAAATTATTTAGGAGCATGATGCGTCTTACCTGCATATACTGTGCATGGATCGGTGTGTCCACCTTTGTCTGAATATGAAGAAGATGTGAGGTCTTTCATCTCACTGCTGTGAGTGTGTGGGTGTAATAAACCTCTCTCAGACCATCCCACACACCCTAACAGAGTGGAGATCTGCTCTGAGTGGAGACCCGTTTAGTGTCCGTCCATCTGCCCCGCTCTCAGAGCATGGCCCATGTAAAGACCTTTGTCAGTTTTCAGACACCCAAACCGACACATGATGTCAACCCCCTATTCCTGTCCGATGAGCATCAAACACCTGTCCGCTCTCTGTCCCAAACACACACACACACAGATAGGGAGACCCATCACCACATATTTAAACAGCAATCCCATTGAGTGTGTGTGAACGTGTGTGTTGTAGTCACAAAGCCAGTTGTGGGGTATATTGGAAGATGAGTTCATGATGTACCAGTTGTTGCTCACAAACACACAGAGTGTTAGCCAGCAATTCAAAGCTAAAGCCACTGTGTGTGTATGTGTGTGTGTGTGTTTGTAACATGAGAAAGGGCAGATCCCTGGATGCCACTGCCATCGTTTTTGTCCCATAGTAAAGCCCTCACCCTACGTTTAAGTTATTCCGGGCTTTGGGCTCCTGAACATGACGGATCATTACAGCAGCATGCACTGGTCTGAAAACAGAACTCAGTCAGTAGATAGTTATTTAGTTAAATCAGCTATCATCTCTTGAAATGATGATGTAACCTAACAAAGTCAACAAAACCATCAAAGCTAAAGCAACAGTTCAGGATTTTGGGAACAACGATCATTCTCTATTGAGATAAGAACTGTATTTGATGTTGGCACTAGAAGTAATAATGAGCTTTAACATTGTGACAATTTGTAGGAGACAAACTGTTTTTTAGTTATTAAGTAAAGGCTTAGCATTCTTTGAAGATATAAATAAAATGAATCATATTCAAACAGAGTTTTGGACTAAGATCATCTTGTGATGAGAAGGCTCAGAATTATAACCATTTTGATAAAAATTTGAAAATGATGTTATACGCAATTTCATGTAAGATCTCTTAGCGCTCAGAGTATGTTGTGCCAAGTAGGTATCTCTGCAGACAAATACAAAAGGCGTATCTGGAGGGCCACATCTGATTGGATGATAACAAACAAGGCATATCTGGAGGGCCACATATGATTGGACGATAACAAACGAGGCCTATCTGGAGGGCCACATATGATGGGTCGATAACAAACAAGGAGTTATTGGCAGATTGTGTTAACCACAGACATATTATGTCTATGCTGTTAACTGGTTTGACATTAGCGCTGTCTCCGGTTCGACATTGGCGGCATCTCCATAACTTCTCTTTCCGTCTCTCTTAACACAGAACTTCCGGTTATATTTCAAAATAAGAGCAACATAAATGGGTACTGGGGAGGGCTAAATGTTTTTGGTTTTTTTTATATATATATATATATACCTAGCCTTTACATAAAAAAAACAGAATCTGTTTTGGTTGTTTAATAATGTCAAAATACTTACAATCAATTCATAAATAAATAAAAATAAAGTAACCAAATTAATAATGATACTTAAACTGGCTTTGGGACAAAGGATGTTTCCTTTAACTTTACATTTTTTGTTCAACTTTTAAAGCAGTCATTGCAGATGAGTGATTGTTAGTTTCTGTCAGATTTCTGCAACTGGAGCAGGTATTTCTGTTTACTGGTTAACTTCCTCAGCTGCCTCACAGTTTAAGGATCAACCCTACTCCATGTTTCAGCTCCTTTCATAGATCAGATCTCATAGAAGAACTTCTAAAGAGCAAATTTTGTTTTTAGCTTTTGTTTTGGGCCATTATCTCGTCACAGGACTCATGCTCTTTAATTGAGACCAGACTTTTTGACAAATGGGAGCAGGTTTTGCTTCAGATGCTTCATATTTCATTGTACCCAGACCACACTCCAGCCAACCTGTGTCAGGTGCAGCCTACAACCCAAGAACAGAAGAGAATCTTCTTGTGTTTGACAGCAGATATAACACTGTTTCTTAGAAATCTTCAGTTTTAAAAAAGAGCTGACGTAACTTACGTAAAGAGCCAGCAGATACAACTAGCCAATCAGCGTTTTCTCTCTAGAAACGCCCACTTTTGGCTACAACGACACCAATTTTAGGTCAATATCTGTAAAATTAACTGAGTTAGTCATTGTTGGTTAACTGCGATGATCATATTGAACTGGGGTGACTCTGAAAGTTAAAACAGTTACAGACTCACTATTACTAATAATTATGTTTGGAGATTTTTATTAAAATTTGTCCAGTGGTTCTTAAGTAATTTTGCTAACAGATAAGGCTGATGCAAAGCATGTGCAGTATGTAAAGGAGTGCGATGGTGATGTTCAGCTGCTACCACTCCAAATTTGATGAAAATGTATTTAAAGTGGCTGAATTATAGCCATTGTTGTGTTGGCTAATACAGAGTAGTTGTAGAAGCTATCTTGAAATGGCTTGACTCCAAATATTAATGAGTTGTAGATGTACATCCAGTGAATACCCTCTGAGAGTTTTAAGTCAATAAATCAAGTCGTTTTTTAAGATATTTTGCTAACAGACAAACATAGTTGATGTCTAGTTAATTGCAAAGGTTAAAAAGCAGAGTTTGTGTTATCAAGCTAGTCCTTAAAATTATTAGCTCAATACGAAATATCTGATTTAAAGCCATTTTTGTGTTCCTCTATTTGCTCTGCTGTGGTGGCCATTTTGAATGAGATTGTCTCTAAAAGTCAATCAGTTGTAAATGTACACACAAAAAAATTACTTTCTGGAATTTCATCTAAACCAATCCACTGGTTCAAGAGATATTTAGCTAAATCTACAGACAAAAAACAGAGACATGGGCAAAAACACGGTTGTCAGAAATTATGGTGTTGGCTACAACGCAGCATGTTTCACACTTTGTTTGATGCTTCTTCAGTGAACTACATCAATTTGTATGTTTTGAGACACAAAATAATAAAGAATTAACGTGAATAATCGTGTGAATTTTCAGTTTTCTTTTGCTCACTTCATATAAATCAACGACCCCTTTTACATTCTAACAAATTGTTCATCCGCCTTCTTTGTGTTTCAATAAATAATTGTATAAACTGTTAAATGTAGGGATGCACGATATAATCGGCATGTATCGTATCAGCAGATATTAGCGATAAAGTTAAATATTGGACATCAGTTTTTCCATCAAAATAACACAGAGATAAAAGGCGCTGTTTTAGATTGTGTAACCACATTTGGCCTTCTGTTTTAAGTTTTTTTTTATTATGCACTTTTCACTTGTCGCTTGTGCACAGGTTGAGTTTAGCTTTGTGAAAATTTACAAAGTTGTACTGTTCGAGTGTCATTGTGTTAGAGAGAATAAATGTCATGAATAAATTTAACATTAAACATAATCCAAGTTTAAGTGTTACATCATTTCAGCCCCTTTTTGGCATCTGCATTTGGTAGCAGGTGAAATTGACAAAGACCATGCAGAATAATGTCCTATTTTAATTCCACAGCAGAGGAAGCTACAGTATGTAGTCTCTGTAAGTAGGTCTTGGGAAAAAAATATCGGTATTGGTATCAGTTATCGGTCACATAACTTTTAACATATTGGCATATTGGATATCGCCAGAAATCCAATATTGAGCATCCCTAGTTAAATGTCAAATTTGTTTACCTTAACCGTGGAATGATTAATATATAAATACCAGTGACCTCCGCAACCCAAAAGGAAGAAGAGGGTAAAGATAGATGGATGGATGGATGGATGGATGGATGGATGGATGGATGGATGGAGTTTTAAATCTTACATGATGAAAACTGTAACCAGCAAAACTTTAGAGCAGTTTTTTTTATTTTAATTAAAATAAATTCATTAATACAAGCCCCTTTAAACACATTTCTACCTCACACAAACCACAAAACAAACAGATTCAAATACCGTATACCACTTGGTACATCACACACACATGAAAACACACACACACACACTCGAATATATAAATATACAAATGGTCAGTAAAGCAAGATTATACCCAGTTTGTCAATCAAAAGTTTCAACGGCTATAAAAACAGCTACTGGGCAAATGCTCTGAATGCTGACTGAAGAGACAGACTGCTGTTTAAGGAGACCCAAGAAAAGAGGGGTCGTGGGGTGGGGGGTAAAATCTCTGCCAGTATCAGATGTACCCATCTCGGAAACGAACGCAGACATATTAGCAACAGGGAGTGACCACTAGATGGAGATCTAGCAAAAAGATTAGGGACCCCTAAGCAAGTTGAACTTGGTCTCCTCTTCCTATCAGCAGAAGCATCAGACGTGCTGTAGCTTCAGCAGACGTCCTCATGGAGACCAAAAGATGTGCATTCTTATGCCACACAATTAAAGCTGTTTTCTGCTTGACCATTTTAGAAGAAAACCACCAGGAGATGAACACCACCTACATAATTGACCACGCTGAGCCAATGCATAAACTGGTATGGCTAGAGGTAACTTAGGATAACCTATCTGTTCTTTTTGTTTCCATTTCTGTTGCTGTTTTATTTGCAGCAAAATTCTATAAACCACGAGGAGTGGCGGCACTGTGAAGGGGTTTAAGTTAGCTAAAGTCTCAAATCCTGCATAGCTGCAGCGTATGCTAAAATATTTACTAAGATGCTCATTAGGTGATATATAAACAACACACTTTGGCTAATCAAGAGGAAGATTATTCATTCAGTTTACGTTTTACTCACTGCCACTCAGTCTTAGACTATAAGGGCTCTCTATATATTTATTGCTCAAGGGTAGATAAAATGAAATGGATGAAAGTAAATTAAAACATAACTTTAAAACAGGCACATTTTAGTTAAGAACTAAAAATGTATTAAAAATGTACATGTTAAAATAATACCCACTGGCTTGTCGAGCTTTGTCCATGTAGGTGATGGAGAGTTCATCCCTTACGGGGGTCAGCTGTGGTCCCACCATGGGCACCAGATGATCACCGGAGCCCAACTTCAGCGCTTCCTTTACCCGTTCTGGGGAAACTAAAGGAGGGCAGACAGGTGCACTGCAGCCCCCCGCCTCCTGGAAACCACTGTCCCCTTCTCCTTCTGCATCCACCCCACTCTGATCAGGGGTTGGGGTGAGTGTGTGAGGGGTGAGAGTGTGTGGGGTGTGTGCAGAAGTGGTCCACTCTGTTTGGTGAGGCAGGTAGATCAGTTCTCGGCGAGGAACTCCAGGAACACACCGATTGTCCCACTGCAGGGAAACTCCTGCGTCTGTTGCACTCTCGTATCTTAAAAATTATAAAACACAACAAAAATGATCAGTTTTAATGAGGGAACTTGAAATACACATGCTTGCAAAGCCTCAAGAGATGAAAATTAGATTTTCACATTAATCAAACATGTATATCAATTTTATACACAGCAAAAGAAAATGTAAAAATTTTGCTAACTTCAGCTTTTAACTAGCCTAGTGATACTTTTACCTAGTATTTTGCTACTTTTAGCTAGCATTTTGCTACTTTTAGCTAGCATTTTGCTACTTTTAGCTATAATTTTGCTGTTTTTGGCTAGCATTCAGCTACTTTTAGCTAGCCTTTTGCAACTTCTATCATTTTACCACTTTTAGCTAGTTTTTCCACTATATTTACCTCCCAGTTATCTTTTTGCATCTTTTAGCTAGCAATTGTTTCTTTTAGCAAGCATTCTACTACTTTTAGCTAATGTTTAGCTACTTAATAAAGTTCTAAAAAAAATCATGTTTAGCTACTTTTAGCCTTTTGCTATTTTTTGCTACATTTAGCTAGTGTTTGGCTACTTGTAGTTTTTAGTTAGCTTTTGCTATTTTTAGCATTTAGCTTTGAACTACATTTTGTTTTAATTTTGACTTTTGATTCTTTTGGCTTTGAGCCAGCATTTTTGCATGTATTAGCTAATATTTTTTTATTTTTAGATTGTAGCTTTTTTTTTTTTTTAACTTTTGCAGCATTTCGTTATTTTTAGCTTTTGGCTAATTTTTTGCATCTTTTAGCTGTTTTCCTACTTTGAACTGGTGTTTTACTGTATTTAGCTTTTAGTTAGAATTTTGCTACTTCGGCTTTTCTTCAGTTTCTTCAGCAAGACTCAGCAACGTCATTCAGCACTCAGCATTCAATCGCTCGTGATTCAGGTAATCTTGAATTTTGTCAGAAGAACTGTGTCTCCAGTTCTTACCCGCTCATCTCCGATGTTTCTTCTTCTTGGTTGTCGGTGCGTGCAGGTGGGCGTGCATGAGGAGAAGTGCGTCGCTGACGACGTTGGTGCATGTGCAAATGTGTGTCTGCATCACTGTCTGTTTCTCCGTAATAGGCCTCACTGTCTGGAGGGGATGTGACACCCCTGGGTAACTCGGCAGGAAGAAAGGAGGAACTGTTTAGGAGGGCCACAGGAGGAGACAGGACCCTCACAGAGGACTGAAGCAATGAAGAGTGATCTGAGCAAGAAGAGGAGTGAAATCCAGAGGAAGTCCTGGAAACAAACATATAAACAAGTTGAGAAAATGTAAAGCAGTTGGTATAATATGACAACATGGTCAGAGATCACATCATGAGCTTTGTGTTCTAACCTTTTAACCTTCAGGTTCAGGGTGCCACTCTCTTTATCTATTAGGTTCATGGCTTGAGCGTGATTGAGCTCTGCACACATGTGGTCACCAATAGCAACAAGCTCGTCAAGCTCCTTCAGCCCGGCTCGGCATGCTTTGCTGCGCCTGCGTATCTAAACAGAGAAAATACAAGTCTTTTTAAGTACAAAGTACACTAAATAAATACTTAGTTTATTTTTCATTGTCTTTTTTTTTGCCTGCCATTAGGTAACATTCTGTACTTACAGTTCTATTAGTTTCTATTTATGCCTGCCTCAGAAAAATGAAGGTGGATGATAATGTTTTTGCTCATCTGTGAGAATGTTGTGTTTCTATAACCTAAATATGCCATGGAGGATTTTTATTGACTTTAGCAGAAAGTAAATTTTGTATATAAATCTACAAATGATTACCTGTTGACATCAATTCAATTTAAGATGACTGCTACACAACTATTAGCTGCTATGACTGCTAATAGACACAGCCTACACAAAAGTGGCTATAAATCAGTCAGTTTTACAGATAATGGGCTAAAATTTGATGATAATAATAATAATAATGTGTTATGTGTTGTCATTATTGTACACTTCCTGGTCAAAAAAAAAAGTCACCGCCTGCATTTAACTAAGCAAATAGGTACAGGCCTCCTATTGGATAATTACTGCATGGACAATTATCTTTCAGCTGGCAACAAGTTATTTAACCTCAACTGGTGCAATGAGTTACTTCTCATTTCTTAAACAACCATGTTGAAAGACACATCGTGTGGTCGTGGAAAAAATGTCAGTCTGTTGGAGAAGGGTGAAATCAATGACATGCATCAAGCAGAGATAACATCTAAAGGAGATTGCAGAAACTACTAAAATTGGGTTAAGAACTGTACAACGCATTATTAAAAACTTGAAGGATAGTGGAGACCCATTGTCTTCAAGGAAAAAATGTGGCCTGAAAAAAATCCTGAATGATCGTGATCGGTGATCACTTAAACATTTGGAGAAATCAAATCGAAGAAAAACAACAGTAGCACTCAGGGCTGTGTTTAACAGTGAACGTAAGAGCATTTCTACACGCACAATGTGAAGGGAACTTGGAAGTGGGGCTGAACAGCTGTGTAGCCTTAAGAAAACCAGTAATCAGTGAGGCTAACTGGAAAAAAAATGCTTCAGTTTGCTAGGGAGCATAAAGATTGGACTCTGGAGCAATGGAAGAAGGTCATGTGGTCTGATGAGTCCAGATTTACCCTGTTCCAGAGTGATGGGCACATCAGGGTAAGAAGAGAGGCAGGTGAAGTGATGCACCCATCATGCTTAGTGTCTAGTCATCAATGCAAGATCTTGGTGAAAGATTAATGCAACAATGGATGGAAATAGATCTTGTGACACTGCAGAAGCTTATCGAGACAATGCCACAGTGAATGCATGCCGTAATCAAAGCTAAAGGCGGTCCAATGAAATATTAGTGTGTGACCTTTTTTTTTGGTGGTGACTTTGTTTTTTTTAGTCAGGCAGTGTATGATCCCATACAATGGCGAAATTGGCTTTCTGCATTTAACCCATCTACCCCCAGGTGGAGCAATGGGCAGCTATTGAAAGCGCCCAGGGAGCAATTGGGGATAGGGTGTGCTGCTCTGAAACACCATGAGATGTGCAATGACTGGGGATCGAACCTTGGACTTTCGGATCCCGAGTCGGCTGCCCTGCCTCTACCCCATGTGGTGGTAGCTGAGAGTCACATACTCTCAGCGCCAACAAATCACACAAAATTTCCCAGTATCACAAGCGACTGTGCATAGCTTTATTATCAAGATTTCACCAAAATGTTTTTTTTATTCTTTTCACACTTACTCTAAAACTCTGGCATTGGGGCTATGGGCACTGTGCACCACTTCAAGGAATACAGTACGGTCTTTGAATCTACTTTGGTTTAGAACTTCTCTGATCTTCTTAAACAGACAAATTCCGTTCTTTAGTTTTATAGACCAAGTTTGTGACGGCAGCTGCTGCTGGAGGGCGGTGATGTCATGGGACACTTCGGGAAGCGTGTTAGTCGGGGTGGGGGTGTGTGGATGTGAAGGTGCATTCTTGTCACAGTTTGAGTTAAAAAAAGATAAGGCCGTCCCATCTGTTCCCTCGTACACGCACATACACACAGAAATACATACTTTATCACAGCTGAAGGTAAAAATGTTGAGTGTTCAGGCACATTTAGCCGTATCAGAAGGCTATATCTTGGCCCAGATATCCCTCTTCACGTTCACACCAGTGGAGCAAGGACAAGCTATCTTTCTCACTTCTGTCTTTCTGAGAGGCAAATACACCCCCACTCACATATAAATAACATAAAAGAGGGGATTTGAACAGCTGCATCACCATTCAGGAACCGGGCTGCATGTCTGTCATTCACCATATGTCGCCCCCACATTCCCAAAATAAAACCTTGCAGCGGATTTAACCACATTCCTAGACAGACAGAGGGAGACAGGCACTACTGTGATGGGAAGGATATAAAAAAATAAAGGCCTGTCAATCCAGTGATTACTTTTGAAAGAATCGTTCAAATCTGGAATATTTTGTGGTACAGATATACAAACATACACACAGCCCCTGGCAAAAACAACACAACATTGAAATTAAATATTTTATGGAGATAAAAAGCATGTAAAGTGTGTGTGTCTGTATGTCTATCTTTGAGTGTGAATAAGAGGTCGACCTTTTTCCATGCTCGGCTTCCAGCGCCTCTTAAACGAGCTATTCTGATCCTCCGCTTGCCCTCCAGGCTTATCTAAAGTATGCCCAACTACACATAAGCCAACACAAGAAACGCGCAAGAGGAGGAACACACTAATCAAACTCCTGGATGAAGAGAAAGCATTGGTGCCAGAGCTTCTTGGCTTCAAAATGAGTGGCCTCTGACTTTATAACGTCAGTGTGAGCGAGTTCACATTCCTGCTTTTGAAAATAGCTTTGTCTATTAGAGGGAACATGCTAAACTATCCGCAAATATAGACGTTCAGATTTTTCATACCAGAATCAGAAAGCTTTTATTGTTGCATATACATTTGTAGTAAGTAACACTCAATGGTTAAATAAACCAAATAAGTCAAATAAACGTTTGACTTACAGTGTGTCTATGTAATTTCAAAATACAACAACCCCCTGGATAGCTTTTATTTAAAAAAAAAAAAAAAAACTTGCAGACAGTAATCAGTGGATGTATCTACAACTGATTAACTTTTGGACTTAACCCGATTCAAGATATCTTGAAGACAACTGACTTAAAAAAAAAAAACTTATCCATACTCTATTCACTACATATATTGTACACATATTTAAATACACATTGCAGATCTTTGATACGGAGCATATCATCCATGAAACTGTTTTGCGTTATCATTACAAGATGGTGTGCGCTATCGAAAAACTTCCAACTGTTTCTGAAAGCGGAGACATACAGTTAATATGTGGTTATTGTGGCCATTTTATTTGTGCTGTTGCGGAAGCAAACTATCAGCCTATTTGTTGCCTCTTTCCCGCACATGCAAAATGCACAGAACAGTGTAAAGTAATAGCAATAGAGCAATGAGCAGCAAATAATTAGATTCAGAAAAAAAATGTCAAATGCACTCACAAGACATTGTTTTATCCTTTCTATTGTCAAAAGTAGCAATAATGCTAAGATGCTATAGATATCACATGAGATTGCACATAATGTTATTTTGAAAGTTTGACCAAAATGACTAAAGCTCTCACTTCTCAATGAAAGATGAATTTAGCTTATAACTCTGGCATGACAGGTGGCAAGTGAGATGCATTCCTTCAATTTGAGACTGTTTTCAAACACATTAGGAGTTCTAGTCATTATAAGTTAAAACGGAAGGTTGGTCCCGCAGACAACCCAGAGATATTTAAGGCAATTTTGGGGGGTTATGTCCAACGAGAAGCTAGCACATCAAGGTTATTCCAAAATCTGTACACACGCACCGCATTAAACTAAAGGGTAACTCAAACATAGAGTGCCCCAATAATCACCCTGGTGAACCTCCAGTTGCTGGTTCTGATGAAGGCTCAGACATTCAGGACCCCAAAGTAGGTATAATAAAGATAAGGTGAACTGTGGCACTCTGGGAAAGTCTGTTTACATGACTGGGGAGTGGTGGTGCAGAGGTTAGAGAGATGGGCCTGTGATCGGAAGGTCACCGGGTCACGCCCCGGTACCGTCAACACCAAAAATGTGGGTTGGGTAGGTGAAGCACCCACATTTGCCCCTACCCTCATTCGCCCCACTCTGGGCCCATGAGCAAGGCCCTTAACCCCCCATCTGCTCCCTAAACAGGTCTCTCTTGAAAATGAGTTCTCGTGGCTCAATGAGACTACCTGTATAAATAAAGGCTAAATGAAAAAAAAATAATAATCTTGATCTTTATAGAGAAATCACTGACAAAGGAATAGCAATTCAGAAGGTTATGCTGAAACTAATATGGAAGATTGCAAACACAATAGATCTTTCACACATTAAGGGTTACAAGGATCACTGTGATGGATCTAGAGGTGATGCTTCCATTGAAGGATCCTGAGGATGGCGATGATGAAATTTAAGATGGCAGCTCCAACAGTCTTCTTTTTGGGCACACAGCTAGGACCTGGGCCAACAAGGAAAGGCCTTTAACTACCAATTCTTTGTTCGAAGAGTGTTCTTACTGTTGCACACTTTTGAGATTAGCATGAGTTTAGTACAACAATATTAATTTTAAAGTTAAAAATCCAGTAATTAGAGAAAATCCAAATAGGGTTAAGTTTACCTCAGTTCATATTTATCAGCTAGTGTTTGGGGCGGCTGTGGCTGAGTTGTTAGAGCAGTTGTCCTCCAGTGGGAGAGTTGGAGGTTCAATTCCACCAGCAGTCACATGCTGGAGTGTCCCTGGGCAAGACACTGAATCCCTCATTGCCTTCGATGTGTGTCCCATCGGCATATGAATGTGACCTAAAGCACTGATTAGTCTTTGTAGAGACATAGAAGAATTCTGTATGAATGGGTAAATGAGGGCACAGATTGTAGTGTAAAGCGCTTTGAGTATCTTGATAAGATAGAAAGGTGCTATATAAGTGCAGTCCAGTTACCATTTATTTACCATTTAAATTTGAAAAAATCTTAAACATGTGCAGCCACATAGATTCAAACATGTGTAGAGTTAATGCTTTTCATTTTGAGTTTTTGCAAACCTATCTCTGAAACTCCCCTAACTGAATCCTGCTATGGCTCTCAGAATGAAGTGATGGAATTGGACTCAAGATGAACCCTAGGCCAGTGATCATGTTGTTCTCTGACCCAGAAACAACAGGTGACTGGTAAATTGAACTGGACTGTGGCCAACAACTGCAGTGTAGAACTGGATGAAGAATATGTCATGTCAAAGTTACTCAAATTACAAAAAAAAAGAAAAAGATCTGCAACCTTTCACTTTACTGGTAGATTCTTTCCAATTAACCATTGAATTTTAGATGGATAGTTTCTGGCACTTAAAAATACAAACTTTTCTTTTCTTTTTGGGCAACACCAAAAGAAATAAACAATAAAGTTTGTTGTTAATCCATTTACCTGATCTTGTAAATTAAAGGTCCAGCTTTCCTTAAAGAAATGCATTTCGCCTACAACCTTTCATGCCAGAATTTTAAAATAAAGTTATCTTAAGTTGAGAAATGATGGAATTACGAGCAATTTTACACAGTACGGTAAAATCTTGCGAAATCTGTTAGAGCTTGGAGAATGTTTTGTGAATGATTCTGAGATACTACCACAGCAAATTTTACCTTAATATTTGTAAAATGTACTGAGTTATAGACATTTGTGTGTTGGTGTGTGTCTTTTGTACATCCAATTACTGTACATCCTGATGTAAGCTCAATCATCCAGGTAAATAAATCACAAAAAAGTTAAATCAAGAAGAATCTGTCCAGATGACCTGATTTAACTGTTTTGTGATACGTCCAATTACCATTTTACAACAGTTTAACAATAAAACAGTTAATTCAGCAGTTTAGGCAAGTATCTCCCACATAACGTAGTACTTGAAGTATGTTTTGGGGTTGACTCTCAGATACAACATCCAGATTAAGCTTAATATCAGTCAAACTAACACATTTTTAGCCATTTTTTGTGTTTTCTAGGATCCATTAACTGTGACAACCATCTTGAATTGGTTTGACTTTCAAAGTTTTTGAGTTCTATATTCATATTATGAGAAATTTCACAAACAAACAGGGTTTACCTCTAACAGTTAATGTCAAAGATTTAAAAGGAACCTGGAGAGATATGTTAGTTCTCGGACTGTGTAGTAGGGATGACTCTCAGCTGCCACCACATCGAATTTTAAATGAATATCCATCAAACTGACTGAGTTACATCCATTTTTGTGTTTGTCAAACTCCATTAGCTGTAGCAGCCATCTTGAATCAAGTCGACTCTAAAAGTACACCAGTTCTAGATGTAGTGATTGCAATTGAGAGATTCATTAAAATCTACCCTGGGATTTAAGAGATATTTTGCTGACACCACAGTTAAACAAAGTCAAATCATGAATAGCTGCTTTAAAAGCTCAATGCATCATTTATTTTGTCCAAAAATGTTTTGAGTTTTCCTTCTACTGTACCTTTGCCACCTGTAGAGGCTTTTGCAGCTCCGCTCCTCCTTGCAGTCTGAAACCCCATGGGGCTCCTCCTGAGATGGAGACCACAATCTCCTCTGCCACCATCCTTCTGCTCCCACCCAGACCACTGATTGTCTGTGAGATCTCCTCTTCTACTGTGAGACCTTCTCCTCTGCAGTCCCTCACACTCTGCCGAAGGGGCTCTCATTACTCTCCAGAGTCTCTCCACCCATGAGGAGACAGAGGGTGGCTGGCTTTCATCTGTCTCCAATGGAATGTGGCATCATGGGGGTCGGGGTTCTGTGTGTGCGTGCGTTTAACACTTGCCATGTCAGTCTCAAGTTCCCCATACAGAAGGGGATGCTTCCAGATATACACTCTAGAAATAACCCCCTCCTCCTCTTTGACCTCCTCAACACAGTGAGCCTGTTGAGGATCAGTGGCACAAAGTTTTTTATACCATCTTTGAAACCACAAGGTAAAGCTTATTTAAAATTCTTATGGTTGAGTTTGTTTGTCTGAAAATACAATTTAGCCGTGTTGATATGGATGTTAGCAGGAGCAAGGATTTCTCTGCCCTCTGAACTCAAATTCACACAAAGCATTAGATAATTCCCTTGATTTACCCTCAGATTGGCTCAAATCACTTGTAGCAGTATGTTGTGATTATTTCCTAAAATTTCATTAATATCCATCCAGTGGTTCATGAGATATTTTGCTAACGGACAGAGTGGTATCTAACAGCAAGACTTTAACCTCCTAGGACCTGGCATCCACATATGCAAGAGTTCAAGTCTTAGGAGGTTAAACAAAGATCTTGTGCAATCTCTTAGCTCTTATTATAGTTTGTGTTACAAAAAAATGTTTAAACTTTTAAATGAATATGGCAAAGTTTAATAGTTAGTCTATTGAGATTAGGTAAACAGCTGACATACATCTCTGGTATAGGCTACACTAGGAAAATCATTGTCTTAAAATGTGATTTAATACACTAATAATTGCATTAAACTGTGCTAAAATATATCAATAATGCCTTAAACTGGGTTATAATATAAAAATAATAGCCTTAAATTGAGCTATTATATATGAATAATTGCTTTAAATTGTGTTTGAACACTAATAATTTCTTTAAACTCTGAATGCTACACCAACAAATGCCTTGAGTTGTGTTATATATAATGCACTATTTGTCTTTTGCTTAAATACACTAATGGTATTGTTAACCTTGGCTCATTGTGTGACCAACTTCTCCATTCATTTTGTATTTTTCTGGGGTTTCTTTTCTTTTCTTGCAACTGTGTTCTGTTTTATTTGTGCATTGTCACCTTTTTAACTAGACACCTTCTAGTGAACCCAGTAACCAGTGGTGGACACAGTTCCACTAATCCGCTAACAGCTAATAGCGGAACTAATTTTTTGTTTAGCAGATTAGCATTTTCGCTAATTGTGGAAACCGTTAGCGGAATTAACTTCCGCTAAATTGGGTTTCGCCAATGTCTGCTAACAAAATTCACAAGCTTGTTCCTGTCTGTTGTGGGCATATCTCGAAGAGTCCAGTGGGTACACTGTTAGCTTACTACATGTAATGTGACAAGACGTGATTGGTCGATGCAGTGGCGACAAGCTGAAGGCACACTATTGGCCAAGTGGTTAGAGCGGTCGTCCTCCACTGTAAGAGTTGGGGGTTTGATTCCACCAGTAGTCACATGCCGAAGTGTCCCTGGGCAAAACACTGAACCCCTCATTGCCTCTGGTGTGTGTCCCATTGGTGTATGAATGTGATAAAGCACTAGTCTTTGTACAGATATAGTAGAGTGTTGTATGAATGGGTAAATTAGGGCACAGATTGTGGTGTAAAGCACTTTGAGTATCTTGACAAGATAAAAAAGTGCTATATAAGTACAGTCCATTGACCATTTACTATGCAACACGTGACAAGACGTGATTGGTTGACGCAGCAGCAAGCTGAAGGCACGCTATTGGCTTACTATGTGCACATGTGACAAGTATATTGTCATTCGCATCACATGTGGTACATGAGGTGGAATGAAATTATGTACTCGGGGTCCCAGTTACACCCAAAAATATCAAAAATATAAAGTCTAAAAAGAAACAGTATATAAGGATCTAAGAGCTACACTAAGATATATGCTAACCGAATGCCAAATGGTATGCTAAAAAATCTAAGATATATGCTAAATACTAATACTGTAATGTAAAACAATACGGTGTATCAACAGTCCGACAAGACGTGATTGGTCGACGTAGCTTCAACTGGAAGGAGATGAAGACGTAAGATGCAGACTGAGTGACAGTCGTCTTGGCAGTTTAGTGATGGCTTCCGCTAATTGTTTTACCTGTTTAGTGTTAGCAAAGCTAATTATTTAGTTAGCGGAATATGGGTTAGCTAAGATAACTTTTTGGTTAGCTGCACACACCACTTCCAGTAACTAAAACAGTATAATAAATTTTGAGTCACACAGGCAGAAGATCTTGCCTTAGAATGTCAGAATCTTCAATTACGCCATACACACCAGGAAATTTAAAAAAATATTGACATCAATAATAATTCTTTTTTTTTTTTTTTATCTGAAAAGGGATGAAGGATCCAACCTGAAGTGGAAACCAACTGCACATCAAGGGCAGTTTATAATCTGAGCACATCTCAGCGACCCACCCCAAGTGCAAATGATCCAGAGCAATTCACTTCAAACACCCTCCTCTAGAGGAAATCCAACAAACACCCATGCAGGTTGGGGGATTAATTAAACTACTGTATATAACTCAGTCCTTTCACCTTGTCCTGTCCTTTTTTAGTCTTCGACTACTAATGAGTCCAAACAAAACACAGCAGCATAATCTTCTTAATCTAACTTTAAATGTAAGTTTTCTAGCAATTTATTATTTTAATCTCCTTCCTCTCCTCCTCCCCCAATCTCTTGGGGGTTCCCTCTTTTTTAAATACTGATACTAATAAAAATTTGAATGTTCAAACTGGCACTCTCATAATAGCTTGTTGGTACTTGCTAGGCAGGTGACAAAATATCAAGTTTCAACAAACTACACATCATATTGAAGTTTTGGATGCAGAGAATCTGAAAATCATAATAACTCTTTTTTTGAAAATTGTATTTAAATTAATTTTAAATCTATTTATTATTTGTACTTGTGCACATTCTGGACACATTCTATTTAGTTTGAGAAACCTCGAGATTTACTTACATTGTGAACTAGCTGCTAAAACTTTGTTATAGTAACAAAATACATTTATTAAAAAGTTAAACTGAAAAGCTAAAGGCTGGTTATAATGTAAAATGTACTAACTGCAACATGAACGTCCTGCGCGCAGCAGAGGAGGGAGGAGAAGAGAACAGCGGAAGTCGCTGTGCGTCCTCCGGATGTGGACGTGGCACAGACTGTGTTGCAGCAGTTCCGCTGAATGTCCGCTACTGAAGAAGGGATTAGTGAGCAACACCCCGGGACGACATCGCCTTCTGAGTTTATTGGCCACTGGACTTCACCGTTTGCCACGAATAAAGGATAGCCTTACAATTTGCCCCTCTTCGGAGGTAAGTTTTGAGTAGAGGCGGCTCTGTGTGACATCCATGTCCGGCTTTACGTTTAGTTCTCGCATTTCTCTGTTGCTAGCTAATGCTAATAGCCACTGCTAACAGCTCTGCTGTAGGTTACAGGCTCAGCCGGTTGGTTAGCATTTCCTAGCTCCAGCTGTGTTGGCTGCCTGTTATCGTGATTCAAGTCGGCCTGTTGCTAACATTAGCGTGCGAAGATAACACCCGTTTATTGAACATCTAAATTCGATCTCCATTTCTGCCACTTTAACAATTATTAACTTAATATTTAGCTTAAATTTAGCTTTCTTATACGTTATGCTACTGACAGTTAGCTGGCTAGTCAGCTAATTTTAATGCGGCACAGCTACTCTCTCCAGCTATTCCTGTTTTGCTGCAGTCACAGTCAGTCCTTTTACGAAATAATTTATTTTAACTTTTGACTGCAGCCCTAAATTATGGCACTGAAACAGAAGAAAGTAGATGTTTGTCGTTTTAGCACACCTGACGTACTAAATAGCTGTTCGACTCTAGTGATTGTATTTCTCATGATGGCCCCTTCTCTGCTGAATTATTCAAAGACCCTGCTCATTTAGCCATTGTTTGTTAGATGACACTCATGTTTAGGTCAGACACGCATCTAAATACCAAGTTTATAAACGGCACAGCAGCTTCACATTTTTTAGCAGGTGACGTGCAAAAATCTTAGCTAAAAGATACGGATTTAGCTTTTGTCACTGTTAAGACTTTTCGAAAACTATAGTTAATCAACAAGATTCAGTATTTAACCCCACCTTAATTTGAGAAAGTTTCTGCAAGTGTTTTGAATCTGCCTTAATATTAACAGGTTAATATTAACAGGATTATCAGGTTTCAGTTTTGGTTGCTCAAGGCCTGGTAGAGGATCTTTGTTACACCCTGGAAGGTCTTTATTATATCTAATGCTCTGAAAACTTAAAAGTTTAGGGCTGTTATTGAATCTGTGGGTGTGGCCATGTTAAACACAGAAAGCTAACGAAGTTATTGAACCAGGAAATATTAAAGTTAGGAGAGTGTGACTTTGGTCTGACAGAAGGTTTAAAGTGTGTATTGCCTAACCTTTTGATTTGTTAGTTCAGATGCAAAGTGTGGGTAAATTTTGCCCTGACAGGGTCGTCTGCCTTTATATGTAAGTAGGAAATAATTATCATACATGATTAAAGATATAAACTGCAAAAACAAGAGGTTGGTGGAAATTACTGTTTTCAGTATCAATTGTTTATCCAGTTAGAGAAGGTGGTCCTGTGATTGGAAGATAACGGGTTCAACTCCCTCGACTGACGACATCAAAATGTGGGTGGGAAACGTGAAACACCCACACCTGCCTCCACTCTCATTTGCCCCAGTCTGGGCCCTTGAACAATGCACTTAACCCCCACCATCTGCTCCCCCGGGTGTCCTAGATGGCAGCTCTCTGCTCCACACAGAGGGCTGTGGTAGCTTGGTGATCTGTGGTTGCATCAAGAAGGGCATCCGGCGTAAAACCAGTTGCCAAGTCTTTGTGCGAGTTAGTTCACTGTGGCGACTCCTGAAGAAGGGAGCAGCCGAAAGAGGGGGGACATTTGTTTATCTCCCTCCCCTTATTTGCTCCTTTCATGAGCAGAGACTTATGGGTAAATGTCTCTAATTGAAAGACTGGCAATCCCTTCAGACTTAAGACAATTCAACAACCCTGATCTTTTTAGCATCGGTGTTTCAGACACTTCTACAATTCACGTCTTATCGTTTTCTTTACACCTAGTTACCAGGTTAAAAGAAGTTTGGTTTAAAATATGAAATCTGTGTATGATTGTGTTGTGACGTGATTTTATCCAGATTTAGGGATGAACTGAGGATGAATGTAAACCAGCACACTCCTATGGCCTCTCCCTACGGCCAGCCCCAGCCTGGCTATGGCCAGCCCGGCTACGCTCCCCTGGATGGAGGGTACCCGGCCCAGTATGCACCCTACAATGGCCCTGCTTCAGCCTATCAGCCTGGAGTTCCACCACAAGGTAAACAGCAGCTTCCAGATAAGTTTCTTTATGAATTAAGTGCTTTGCAATCACAAAGTTGAAACTTTAGGATGTTCTATCTGCCGCTCATTATGGGAGCATACATGTGTGAGAAAAACCCTGAGTCTACTAATCCTAATCTCAGCTGTCCTGTCATTACTTCATTTAACTTCACCCATTACTCTGTATCTTTGTATTTGCCCATTTCCTTCGTTTTCTTGTATTTCAGGTTACTCTCCTTTTACAAGCTTTCCCTCTAAGGCTGTGGCAGCCAACCCAGTCTCTGACCTCTCCTCTCCTCTTGACTTAGGTAACTGGCTCTGTTCATCTCTGCTTCTTGCTCATTTCACTCTTGAAATATCCTGAAATCATTCTTTCTGTATCTGCACATCTTGCTGCCGTGCTGTTTTTTCTCTTTGTAAATAATAGATCTTGTAAGTCTTTGTGAAAATGGCTTAAGTTAGAAGCCAGTAAATGACTAATGTTTTGCTCTCTAGCATTCAGATTTGTAAATGACTCTTCTATTAATAAGAATATCTGTTTGTGTATCTTGTATTAATTTTCCTGCTGCGTTTTTACATGTATGGGTATTAACTTTTAGTGGGCTATTTTGCTTTGTATCCTTTGACTTGCATTCAAAATCTTAAGAATATGAGATGCCTTGTTATTTTCACCCTTGACTGAATCTGGATTGGCATCTTTGCTGACCTGGTTTTATGATTTATTCTGAGTGCCTAACTCAAAGGCAAAAACTTGGAATATTATCAGTTCGACTGACTTTATATTTAGCAGCCACAGTGGCTTAATGCCACGTTTGGTTTGACACACATCTTTTAAAACTTGGTTGATATTAGGACATTTCATAACTCTGTACCTGATATTGTGTTATACACGTATGTGAAAATAATTGCATTCTTTTCTTTAGGTCCTGCTAGGGGTCCTCCCACCTCGGTACCCCCTCCAGTCTCAGCCCCTCAACAGTATAATCAGTACAGCCACAATCAAGGGGACATACAAAATGGCACCACACCAATGACACAGGCACCACCCAGGTAATTTTCATTTTAAATGAGTATTGTTTTGTAGTTGAGTCAAAACATGAAGCTGTTTGACATATACAGAATCTTTACAGACACCAGTAAATTGCAAGACTCAAACACTATGTGTGTTAAGGCATTAAACAAATTGTAACAGACTCGGTTGTTCTGGTTAAAATGCCTATCCAAAATGAAGAAAACAAGTGACTCAGTCATTTTTAATATGTCCAGATGGCAGCTAGTTATTACAGTACCATTTACAATTATTTTGCAGTAATAAAAAATGATATACTGTATTTACAGTTTGGTTTGGTTACAGCTGGTTTCTTCTATTCTGTGATTGAAGTACAGAGTTTTCTTGACTTTTTGTGTATTTGCAGGCCTGCTGTATCTCAGCCATACAACCAGGGAGCTGCAAACCTGACAGGGTCACACCCTTCCTACCCACAACACTACGTACCTCCTCCCACAATGCAGCAGGTCACCAACCAAATGACTCGGATGCAGATGTCTTCTGGACCACCGACTCCTGCGGGGCCAGGATATGGTAATTTTAAATGCCTTATATCTGAGCCTAAATTTACAGATTAAATTAGAGACATACAATCTAATTTAATCTGTAAATTTAGAGATTAAATTAAAGGAATGAGCTCAGTTCTGCCACCTGAAAACATTTAAATAGTTTTAAATTTCATTGTAGGACACACACTCACACTGTTTCCTTTCTTTACAGCTCCTCCTCACAGCTCACAACCTCCCATCAGTACCTCCTATCAGCCTGCACCTCAGCCCTCCTACACCCAAGCCCCCCCTCCTGTGTCCTCTGCTCTTACACAGCCACCACCTTCCAGTGGTCCTGCTGCTCCTCAGCAGTACTTTGCAGGCCCACCACCTCCCTCTCAACAGCAGTTCACCTCTTCTCTCCCCCCTACATCTCAACAGCAGTTCACCTCCTCTGTTCCACCACCTCCTTCTCAACAAACTTTTCCTCCCTCCTCCTTTTCGGGTCCCGTCCCTCCACCGAGTCAAGCTCCTGCTCCCCCAGTGTCCCAGTCACAGCAACCTTTCCTCGCTCCTCAGCCTCCTTTCTCCTCAGCACCTCCACATGTTAGCCAACCTGGCTTTGCAGCTGGCCCACCTCCACCTGCCCAAAGCTCCTTCCCACCTCATCCACCCCCTTCTTCCTCTCAGCCAGGCTCTTTTCCTCCTCCTGGTCCTCCTCCCACTTCAGCTGCCTCTGGCCAGTACCCCACCCCTATGTCACTCCAACAGCAGCCGCCCACAACCCAGCCATCCTCATACCACCCAGGACCCCCTCCACTTAGAGCTCAGATGCCTCCCACCTCCAGCCACCTGCCTCCAGGACCACAGGGCCCTTCATGTCCACCAGGCCCTCCCGGGCCTCTTCAGCAGCCTGGTTCTCCACAGACAGGATACCCTCCTCAACAGAATGGTGAGGATGTGACGATGTAGTGGAAAAATGAAAGCCATGACCGTTTGTTGTATCACATCCGGTTGTTTTGTTTGCTCCAGGTGCATTTGGACAAGTAAGAAGCCCTCAGCCTGGTTATGCAGGCCCTTATCCTGGACAACCAAACTATGGAGCTCCTACACCAGCACCAGGTCCTGCTCCTGCACAGAAAAGACTTGACCCAGATGCCATTCCTAGCCCGGTGAGCATCAAAACGTCGCTGACCTCCTTATCACGTTCTTTTTTAGCTCGGGTTGCGGTGGTGTTGTACTAACTGAGCTTCATTGTACTCTGAGGTGATCACACTTCCTCATTACAAGAAAGCTCAGTACAAAAAAACTAGCTTTTGTATTATTAGTAAAATTGTCCTTATAACTTTCATTTTTGCATATTTGATTTTTGAATTATATTTCATCGTCTAAATCTTGTCTTTAAAGTTCCATATAAACTGATATATCTGCAAGTAGCTAAACTTTTTAACCATTTCTGTGTTGAAAGACAACTGTTCTAAACTCTTTCACGCTGTGTTCTTAGTCAATCCTTATTTGCCTAGAGAAAGAAAAAGATCATCTGAAGTGATTCATTCAGCCGTGTTGTTAAATTCATTAATGACGTGTATATAGTTTTCATGTGATTTTTCTTGGTACTGCCAAGCTCTATCACTGCAAAAACAATTACATTTTCTTGCTTGTTTTAAGCTTTTGTATCTTGTGTGATGTTCAGCTTGGGTTTTTTTTTTTTGTTTGTTTGTTTTTTAAACTTAACGGTCTGATGCTACAGTATCACTAACAAATAACTGATACTACAATCAGTGTTAACAGTTGTGCTTGAATCTGAATCTCAGCACAGTCTTGCTGTTTTTTTCTTGCATTTTCACTCTTTGTATTTATTTTGTCCTGTTTCGCACAATTTGCCGGACAAACTTTTGATTGTAAAGCAAGCGTCTGACATGCCGGCTGTGCAGAAATCAAGACATAGAATAGATCCAGATGCTATTCCCAGCCCAGTAAGTTTCTTGTGTCTGTCTTTTCCTTTATTTTTTTGCCCTGTGTTTTCTGCTTGTTTGCACTAACTGCTCCCCCTCCTCCTGTTCTTTCCTCCCAACCCCTTAAAGTTTGCAATAGTCACAAAAGCTTTTTTTGAGACTTCCTGTTCAAACGAACCGATGCAGTTTTATGGCATTTTTCTTTACATTCATAAATTGAATTAAGGATCAAAGTTGAAGCTCCTAAATCAACAGTGGAAATAGTTAGAGCATAAAGTACACACTGGCTTTGTTTACATGCACAGTCAGCAATACGCCAATATTAACCTCATTAAAACTTCACAGCAGTTAAGTCGTTATCATGTTGATAATATTTTCTGGTTGTCCTAAATAAAGTAATAAACAGTGTCTGAAATATGCAAACTAAATTATTGACTGTGCAGGCTCATCTATTTTCAACTCCACAACTGAATTGCTTGTTTCGTTCACAAAAATCAGCAACACTTGCTTCAGCAGAGTGAGTGTTGAGTGGGGGCGGCTGCACATTTACCTTTTCAGTGCTGGAGAGAACCTTAAGTAATGGTTTGTGTTTTGAGAAGTGTGGGTTCTATGAAGTACTAAGTGGATATCAGTGCAAAGATTGCAGTAGTGTAGTGGGACATAACATGAGCCTGACTCATTAATTTAGATTTTATTTTAATTTTTTTAACAGTAACATGAATGAGATATTGTGATTTAAACAGCAAAATATGAATATTGTTACCAAGCAAAATCAACAAGGATGGTTAAAGGAGGTCTTTTTTTGCATGAAAGATATGAATGTTGTGTAAAGACAGCTGCTGTTAAAATCCAGTGTTTCTCCTGCCATTACACAAGCAAAGCGCTTCGCCTACCGAACTGAATTGCGCGCACCACCCCTTGGGCTGGGCGATGTATCGAATATACTCGATGTATTGTGAGTGTTTCAATTTAAAACGGTTAAAATGGCTCTATCACAACCATAGAGTATTATTAGACTTGAAAATCCGTGTAGTTCTTTTTCTCTCGTCTGCGCCGCCAACTTCACACGGCCCCTCCTTCTCCCTCACTGAATACAAACACAGCCCCTCACGTGCTGCTTCACACACGCTTACGAACATCGTGAAGGTGGTGCAGCTGAAGAGGATTATTATTTAATATATGGAAATAATTTTGTTTCTAGATGTTCATATTGTGAGTTATAGCTGTTTGTTAATAAATGTGCTTGTGTGACAACTGAGACAAAGCTTTGACTCAAAAATAGATTTTTATTACTTTACGAAAGAAAAAATATTTTATTGTATATTGCGATTTATCTAAAAAAATATTGAGATTAATTTTGGTCCATATCACCCAGCCCTACCACCCCCCTCACCTGTCAGCACTGACATAGCGCTAAGCTAGCGGCGTGCAATACAGGCATGCCAGCTAAAAAGTTGAAGGCAGTGAACACTCTGCCTCTTCTCTCATGCTGACCCCCCCCCCCCCTTCAAAACCTGTTGGCACAAGCAGCGTGCAGCTCAGCTGTGTTTCTGTCTCTCTCCCCCCACACCCGCTCTAAAACTGTCAGTTCTGTCATTCCCTGATCTGTTAGGGAAGCCGCGGCTCCGTAGTGCAGCTCATTTGTGCACGCGCCAAAAGGAATACTTCCGGGTCGCGCAGATCACCGTTCAATATGCTAGATTAAGGAAAATGGACTGGTATAATTCAGTTTATGAATAAGAATAGTCTTAATTTACTTATAAATGTATGTGCTCTATCGCCGCCGATTTTCATGTTGCTAATTTACGCCACTCGTATTTCTGTTAAAACCATTGACCTATTTCCGTCATGGTTAAAATGATATGCAGCTTCACCACTGAGCGGCGCTGTTTCACCATGGAAATAATTCATTCTGTATCTTGCAGGGTTTTTCTCATTCAGCCCAGGCTGGGGGTCAGGTCTAATGCGTCACACATATCATCTTAACCAATGATTTGTAACAGGAATACGAGTGGCGTAAATTAGCCACATGAAGTTCGGTGGAGATGGAGCATGTACTTTTCTAAGTAAATTAAGACAGTTTTTATTCATAAACAACGGCGACCCGGAAGTACACTACGGATTGTGCTTCCATAACAGATCGGGGAATGACAAGTACAAACGGCGCAGCTCAGCTGCGTCTCTGTCTCCCTCCACACCTACCTGCGCACACAAGAAAACTGCCGGTACAAACGGCACGCAGCTCAGACACGTGTCCCCCCACCCTCCAAAAAATAAAATCACGGACGAGATGAGCGCCCCACCATGGCAAGTTATCTAAGGGAAACGCTGACATCTGTTCCTTTTGAATGTGAATCAGTTGTTCTGTATACAAAAGTGTTGAAATTGTACTTTGACCCTTTAGTCATTGATCTGTTTTGGTGTCTGTGCAGTTATCTCCAGAGACTGCTGTGGCAGTAAACCAAAACGCAACACAAGCTTTGTTTACACGGACATAAGTAATCAAATCAAACGGCCGTTCAGAATAAAAACACGTCATGTAAACACCCTGTTCGGGTTGTTCTTTGTTTATTCAGCGTGATCCGAAATAATTTGGGATCAGAACGAAGCAGGTGGTTTACACCGATTCATAATCTGAACAGTGCACATGTAAACGCTTGATCTGTTCATTTTTTTTTTTCTGATTGTGAAAAACTGACCTGACTGCACATGTACGACTTTGCCATTTCCGCCTGGCTAATGCTAATAATATTAGCATATTGGGGAAGCAAAACTGCTCAGTGAGCGACACATTTCTACTAGAAACTTTGAAAGAGCTCAAAATGATCTGTATTACCTGTAGCTCAGTCAGGGAGTGCAGCAGCGTCTCCACCGTCATTAAAAACCTGTCGCCGGTCCATTTTGGGTGCTCAAGTTTGTTTACGTTCGTCCCGGAAGTAGAACAGAAGTAGAATTTCTTGTTTTTTTAAAAAGAGAGTTTACCACTCTGCGTATGTCAGTACTTCTGTTCAGAACAAAGCTTTGTCTAAACGCTCGTAATGAACAGATTGTGCCCATATAAACAATACATTTGAATTATTTAATCTGAAAACATTTCAATCCGGTCAAAAAATTTTGCGCATGTAAACATCGCTACAGTTGGGTCTTTGGGGGGGTTCAGTCACAATGGGAGTTTTAATAAGGAGTTTTTAAACCACTTTTATATAATAAATATGAAATAATCACCGTTGCCTTATGAATTTAGCAACAAGGCTGCCTAGTTTCACATGACAGGAAATAAACCTGGACTTGTATCCCAAGTGGTCCTTAAGGAATATGTTACACCTTTGGGTTAATCTGTCAAATCTACCTGTAAGGGCTCACATGAAAATGATCAGGTCCAAGAAGATTTCTGGTGCCTACAATGTTTGTTTGTTTGTTTTTGTGTGTGTGTGTGTGTGTGTGTGTGTGTGTTATCAGTCCTTTGAGTTACTATTTCCTGAAAACCTCAAACTGGAGGATTTTGTAGTTATCTGTCAAACTTTAAAATGAGGATTTTTTTTAAATACTAAAATCTAAATTGTTTGACATTTCTGGAGCCAATGTGAAGAACGTTTAAAAGTGCAGTAGATGTCACTACCCTGACTCGTGTTCGTGTTTTTCAGTGCTTGACCAGATGCTTTGAGTTAGTTTCTGTTAGTTTTGTCAGAGTTTAAACGGCTGTCTCCCTCACTAGTTTGATCCTTTTCCCTGCATGTTGGCGTTCCCCATTTGTTCTATTCTCTGTTCCTTTTGGCGTCCTCATTCTTCTGAATTTAATTACATCTTTTTTTACTTTCTTGTCGTGTTTTTGAAAACAGCTTGCTGAGCTTGAATCGTTCACAAACTTCTGTGTGGAAAATTTGTCTGCAGATGTTGAAACAGTTTTTAGTGTGCATGTAAAAGTCTTAAGTGTTCCTCCTTTATCTTCGGAGGTCTGGGCTGGGACAAGAGGTGACATGTTTCCTGTGTGTGCGCTGATGCTGTAAGCTAAGAAGGGAGAATGTTCTTACTCCCGTCTCGTTTTTAGATCCAGGTAATAGAGGATGACAAAGCTAAGACCACCGAGCCGTTCACCACAGGGGTCAGAGGTCAGGCCCCGCCACTGGTCACCACCAACTTTCAAGTCAGAGATCAAGGTTTGTTCTTATTTTTATAAAACGTTTCAAGCTCATTCTCAGTGACACATAATTTATTCGCTCTCTGTAAAACATGTAAGTCAAGAATGCAACAGTTTAATAAAAAAACAAAGTGAAGCGCAGTGTATAATGGCTGCGTAATGGTAATAATGGAAGACTTGTTTGTGAATTTAGGGAATGCCAGTCCACGGTTCATTCGCTGTACAGCCTACAATATACCTTGCACATCCGATATGGCAAAGCAGTCTCAGGTGCCACTGGCAGCTGTCATCAAGCCCCTCGCCACGCTGCCACCAGATGAGGTAAGAGATGCCCCCTTCTCTTACAACTCCTTCCTCTGATGGGTTTTGTTAGACATGACTTTGTGTCTGATCTGCAGCTGATCGTAAAATATCCGAGCAGTTGCTTGAAGGCAAAAATCAGGAATTCCTTTTTCTTTAACTTAGGGATGCATGATATTGGATTTTTTTGGCCGATATCCGATATGTTAAAACTTATTTGGCCGATACCAATACCGATATTTGTTTGTTTTTTTGCCCTAGACCTACTTACAAAGACTACACAGCTTTCTCTGCTGTGGAATTAAAATCCATTATTCTGCATGATTTTTATCAGTTTTACCTGCTACCAAATGCACTTGTCAAAAAAGGAGCTGAAAATTATGTAACACTTCAACTGGATTATGTTTAATGTCAAATTTATTCATGACATTTACTCAACACAATGACAACACTCGATCAGTCATACAAAAATAGATACAATACCATGCCGATAATATTGTGCATCCTTATTTTAAATCTGTGTCATACTTTTTGTCAGTATTCAGTGTAGCTCAGTTTCTCAGTAAGTTTGTACTCGGAGCCAGATTTGGTGAAAGCTTCTGTCTCTGGAGATGATCTAAAATTATGGAGGTCAGATTTATTTTTTTTATTTTTTTTTTGGCTTCAGTTTTCTGATCTTATTTTTAACAAGATTGTTCCAAATGCAGATCTAGTTTTGTGTGTCATCATTTTGCAGAAACAACTGCAGAGGAAAGACAGTGATATTTTAACTGATAAAATACATTAGTTTCAGTAACTCTGCCAGCTTCAGGTTTTTGGTCCTGTTCTTTCTAGAATCTTCGTATTGTGTTAGTCTGCCACAGAAATTCAGATAAATATGCAATCTTTGCTAAACCTTTTGCCAGACCCCTCCATATTTGGTGGACCATGGAGAGAGTGGTCCAATCCGCTGCAACCGATGCAAGGCTTACATGTGTCCGTACATGCAGTTCATAGAGGGGGGTCGCCGCTTCCAGTGTAGCTTCTGCAGCTGCATCACAGAGGGTGAGATTGTGTCTGCATTAGTGTGAACATTTTCTCCAAAACTCTTGCTGTTCTGACCGTTTCGCCCTTCCTGCTCTTCTGCCGCAGTGCCTCCACATTACTTCCAGCATCTGGACCACACCGGTAAGAGGGTGGACTGCTACGACAAGCCGGAGCTGTCGTTGGGAACCTACGAGTTTCTGGCCACTGTTGACTATTGTAAGGTACGATCTCTGATCAAAACCATTCTTTTCTTTGCAAAACTGAACTTTTTATGAGACTCACAGATTTAACACCAGTATTAAAAAAATGTCTTTGTTTTGTAATTCTTCTAATAAACCAGTTTTATTTTTCCTGGGTCAGCAGAGCCCTTCTAGTGGCATTGATATGAAATATTTCATTGTGTGATGTCATAGACGCTGTAGGTTGGGTTATTAATGCTTGGAAACTATTCAGTTGTAGCTGTGCAGCCGTGATGTATAAAGTCAGTCTTGTTCTATGCTGAGTACAATCTGCAACAGCTTTTATCAACACTAAGCAAAATTAATCATTTCTGCTTTATTTTAACTTGGAAAAATTAAAAGATGCAGTTTCTTGAGAGTAAAAAGCGTAGTCTCATGAAACGGCATATTCCTAAGTCTTTATGTGGCATATGACTTATGATCCTATGTTTTTACAGTGTGAACTGTAACATAAAAATTAAGTAGAACATGTGACAAGCTTGAAATTAACTGCGTGTTCAGTCACATGCTACTTGCCTGCTGTGATGTATGGTTTTAAAAAACAAATCCATACAAAGAACGTTGTTTCTGTGCTGCTTAATCTCACAAATCTTAGTCTTGTACCGTATTTTCCAGACTATAAGTCGCTCTTTTTTTCATAACTTGGCCAGTCCTGCGGCGTACAGTCCGAAGTGACTTATATATGTTGTTTTTTTTCCATATTCAAGACGCAATTTTTAACTGTTTAAAATGTTCATTCATACTGACATGAACCAGAGTAACCTTTTGCAGCTGTGAGAGGGTCCTCTAGGCTTTTGACAACTATATGTTGTTCCTCTACTGCTACCCCCCCCCCCCCTCCCAAAAAAAAAACACATTCACTTAGAGACAACTGAGAAAAGAAAATGCTATTCTGCTGAAAATTACAAACTGCAGGTAATCAAATATGCAGCCCAAAACAGTAATTGAGCAGCAGAAAGTTTGTAAACAGGTGGGGTCCACGCAGTCTGCCCGGGACTCATAATCTGGCAGAATGGACGGCCGCTCGGTGGCGGAGGATTCCTCCTTGCAGGGGACCTTCCCCCCTGTTTCTGGTTGGCTCCCGCAGGGCGCATTTCCTCCGCGGTGGTGCATCGCGACCGGCTCTGGGTCGGCCTGGAAGGATCCAGGGACTGAAGTATATATTGACTTACTCCTTTTACTACAAGAAAAGACGCTTGACGGACTCATCGTGAACTGTATTTATGAACCATCGTCTTCAGAACACCTTCAGTCTCATCACATTACATATCACTACGCTACAAGCAGCACTATATACTACAGGGACGTGGTAGAACTACAGCGTCCCTCCGCCTGCACCTCGCTGCTTCCCGGGGCCACGGACAACGTGCCTCGCTGCACCTTTCATCCTCACTCCGGTGACGGAGGGATAGATCCCCCTCGCCCCCGGCACGGCTGCCGACCACTGCAAACAAATAATTGTTTTTAGGTGTTAAATCTTGTTAAATTTCGAAGAACTGCAACACCAAGTCCTCCCGAGCGCACTCCCATGGCCGCCAATCAGTTTTTGGCACGACACCTGTCATAAGGGATCAACGCATAATAAATGCGACCTATGTTTTTTTCCTCTTCGTGATGCATTTTTTGATTGATGCAACCTATACGCCAGAGTGGAAAATACGGTATATGTTTTTATAATATAACCAGTTTAGTTACTTTAGAAAGATCTCATTCCCACACACGTATCTCCTGACTGCAATAAAACATTTTAAACTGTCAACAGAAAAAAGTTCAATGCCCTCAGTGATCTTCAAATTTTTTAAAACTTTTTAATAAAGATTTTCGAACAGATTGATAATTTGCCAATTGAATCAACAACTTCTTTTGAGTTGCTGATTTAAAATATTCAAAACTTCTTTAGTTTGAGTCAGATGGAGGATTACTTACAAGACTGGTTTATTTTTATGGGTTCAAAATAAATTGATGTGATATGACACTTTAAGTGTCAAATGAATTATGACCATAATAACAAATTAAATAACTTTTTTAATCCATATATATTTATCATTTCATTTCTATTTTTGATAAAAACTGATTTTTAAATTTAATCTAATTATAAAATTCTTACCAGACAATTAATGGTTTTGACGCTAATATAAAAAAAAAATACAGAAGTTGTGATGTCAGAACTTTCATGGACATCCTAACAACAAAACCTGTTCACCAGCTCCTTTAAATATGTTTTTATCAACACTTGACCATATTTCTGTTCGACAGAACAACAAGCCTCCTCAGCCTCCAGCCTTCATCTTCCTCATCGATGTGTCCTACAATGCTGTGAAGAGCGGCATGGTCAACATCGTCTGCCACGAGCTCAAGAGCCTGTTGGACCACCTGCCCAGGTATTCCAACACAAACATGTAGATGAATGAGAAGATGTATTGGTGGAGAAAAGCATGATGGATTAAAACAGAATGTGTCATTATGAGTTTAGAGTTAAAGATGACGAGTGACGCTGAAAACAAACCTGGTCAAACTACAAGTTTACAGAATATAAATAAAATGTTGATATTTTTCCTTCCTTTCATTTCTTTGCTGTTTTTCAGGGAAAACCCAGAGATGGATTCCGTGGTCCGGGTGGGTTTTGTCACCTACAACAAGGTTTTGCACTTCTACAACGTAAAGTCGAGCCTCGCGCAGCCCCAGATGCTGGTGGTTTCTGACGTGTCAGACATGTTTGTGCCCCTGCTCGACGGCTTCCTGGTCAACGTGAACGAAAGCCGACAAGTCATCGAGAGGTGGGTGTGCTCAGATGTAAACGAATGTATGGGGCTTTAGTGTGGTCGGAGAGTCCGACGCATTGATTTTCTTTTTACAACACGTTGTGCTTTTCAGCTTGTTGGACCAGATCCCAGAGATGTTTGCGGACACCAGGGAGACGGAGACGGTCTTTGGACCCGTCATCCAGGCCGGACTGGAGGCCCTGAAGGTGAACACATTTTGTTGGATTTTTATATAAAATGAAATATGTTTTGATATTTAAGCTTGATGTGAAATGATTATAGATGTTGACTCTTCACTAGGCCTGTCGCGATAAACAATAAATCAATTAATCGCACGATAAATTAAAATTATCAACCTCATTTTCATTTATCGGCTTTATCATTTCTTCGTCCCTCTCTTTCTACTGAAAGCACTGGATGACAAAAAGGCTCAACTCCAGTGCTCTTCACTGACCGTTCTCTTTTTTTCTCTTTTCTTTAAAATCTGTTTTTAACGATCCAAAATCGTGTTTTTGGATCATTAAAAGCAGCTAAGCTGAGAAGCTAAGCTAACAGACCGACCTCAGGAAAAAACCTCCATCTTGTCGAAGATCCAAAATTCACGGTTGAAACCTGTGCCTTCGTGTAAAAAGTTTTTTTTCTCTGAAAAAGGAAGCTGAGAACTTGTTTACTGATTTTTTTTTTATTAAAAGCTTTGCGTGACAAATACTATGCTAAAGCGCTTAAACCACACCGAGCGTCCGCCATTTTGAAAACCATAAAAAAAAGGGGAGACAGCCCATGTCATGTCAAGGGGCCTCCCTCCTATTTTTCTTAAAGAGAAACGCTGCTCGCTCCCTCACTATCCATCCTTCAGTTCAAACCGTCTTATACTGCCATCTGGTGGTCAAAAAAGATACTACAGGCAAAACTAATGGCCAAACATTTCTTCTTAAATTTGACAATAATTATTAATGTCAAATTTCAAACAATATTATTGTTTATCGCAATAATTTCTGAGACAATTAATCGCCCAGCAAAATTAGTTATCGTGACAGACCTACTCTTCGCTGAGGCAGATCTTAATTTAACTGTATGACGTTATGATTCCTCGTGTGGCTGCTGAGTTGACTCGCTTTATCTGGTGTTCTCAGGCTGCAGACTGTGCAGGAAAGCTGTTTGTGTTTCATACCAGTCTGCCCATCGCAGAGGCTCCTGGAAAACTAAAAAACCGAGAAGACAAGAAGTTGATTGGGACAGACAAGGAGAAGGTGAACACGACCGCAGCCAGAACCTATTTTCTAACTATTGTCAGCTCAGATTTATGTTCCATACTCACTTTCTTTTTTCTCTCCAGTCTCTTTTTCATCCACAGGGGGGAATCTACAACAACCTGGCTAAGGAGTGCGTGGCACAGGGCTGCTGCGTGGATCTCTTTCTTTTCCCTAACCAGTATGTGGATATTGCCACATTAGAAGTGGTTCCCGTCTCCACTGGAGGTTCAGTCTACAAATACACATATTTTCAGGTGAGTAAAACTCCCTAAATGTGTAACCTCGTTTATATGCAAGTACTACGCTCCAGTGTGGCTTTGAGTGTAAAACACTGCGCGTCTTCATCACAGGCTCAAACGGATCAAGAGCGATTCCTGAATGACCTCAGGCGAGATGTTCAGAAACCCATTGGCTTTGATGCTGTAATGAGGGTGCGAACGAGCACGGGTGAGACTTTATTCCCTGAAAATAATCTTGACATGGGACACGACTGGGCAAACGATTTCACGAGTTGTCCTTACCTTCAGGTATCAGAGCGACGGACTTCTTCGGTTCTTTTTACATGAGTAACACCACGGATGTGGAGATGGCAGGTCTGGATTGTGACAAGGCCGTCACTGTCGAGTTCAAACACGACGACAAACTCAGTGAGGAGACGGGGGCTCTCATGCAGGTGTGCATCTTTTTACTATCAAATCATGTGACAAAGTAGCTGCCTTTGTTTAAAACCTATTTGACGCACAGTTAAACTTTACTCATTTAATTGATTTAGTAGAATCAAAATGTGTTATTTTGTAAGAAATGTGTTTTCCGACGTCCTGCAGTGTGCCGTGCTGTACACAAGCTGCAGCGGCCAAAGGCGTCTCCGTATCCACAACATGGCTGTCAACTGTTGCTCTCAGCTGGCTGACCTCTACCGCAACTGTGAAACGGACACAATCATCAACTACTTTGCCAAATATGGTGAGTTTTAGGCTGTCGGTTCAGCTTCACGCCAATTACCAGTACGTGTGGGTGGGAGTTAGTAGAAAACCACAGCTTGTTACCATCAACTCGCAGCTTTCCACGTTTTTGTTCAAGGACTGATGTTTTTGTGTCGTTGTGTTCTGCAGCTTTCCGGGGCATTCTGAACAACCCCACCAAGGCAGTGAGAGACACTCTGGTCAACCAGTGTGCTCAGATCCTGGCTTGCTATCGGAAGAACTGCGCAAGTCCTTCGTCTGCTGGTCAGGTACTGGAAACCTCTGTACATATACAAACCCCCCTCCCCACACACACACACACCCCGCACTCAGTCTATCAGTGCCGCAAACCGTTTTTACAAGAATGATTCTTTAGAAGTTTTGTTTAAATGATGCAGTTTTCCAAATTTAAGGTTTGACTTTTTGATATTACAATACTGAGAATACCGTATTTTTCATGCATAAGGCGCATTAAGCGAAACAAAACAGTCGGATAAGTCAAACTTTATTCAACTCATTCACAATAACCCAACATTGTTCAGTTGTACCAAATAAAATCAGTTCGAGGTCAGTAAGCACAACCAGAATTAATACATAAGGCGTACTGGATTATAAGGCTCACTGTTGATTTTTGAGAAAATTAAAGGATTTTAAATGCGCCTTGTAGTCCTAAAAATATGGTACTAGATTTGTCCTGAGTACTTGGCAAACTTTGCTAGTTTTTTTTCACACATCAAGTGTTGTTGTTTTTTGCATTCCTACAGTTGTCTGTATTTTTTTTTTTTTTTTTTTCAGCTCATTCTTCCAGAGTGCATGAAGTTACTTCCTGTTTATCTGAACTGTGTGCTGAAGAGCGACATCCTGCTGCCAGGAGCTGACGTCTCCTTGGATGACAGGGCTTACCTCAGGCAGCTGATCAGCTGCATGGACGTTGCTGAGACCCACGTCTTCTTCTACCCCCGCCTGCTGCCCCTGGTGAGCCCTCAAACGCAGCCACACAAACATCTTTTTAGCTTCTAAAAAAGTTAAATCTGGTCCTCTGGACATTCAAAAAACAAAACAAAGCAAAACAACAAAAAAATGTAGAAACGTTTCGTTTTTCATCTGAAAGACTTCCTCAGTCTGAGGTGCTGTATTCACCTCAGTCTTATAAATAGCACCTTCACAGAGTGGATCAACCAGTTTGCTGGGAAGGTGAGAAGGTGCTATTTATAAGACTGAGCTGAATACAGCACCTCAGACTGAGGAAGTCTTTCGGATGAAAGACGAAACGTTTCTACGTTTTTTGTTGTTTTGCTTTGTTTTGTTTTTTGAATGTCCGGAGGACCAGATTTAACCGTTTCAGATTTTTCTACCTGGATTATTGAGCATGCATCAGGATCTCTTTTTATCTTGTTGTCCTGTGAAGGTCCGTCACAAAAATCTAACAAAACCTCGTAAGACTGTTATAGCAACAAAAAAAAAGAAAGAAAATCAGTTTCAAGACTAAGCTCAGCCTTCAGCACTGAATCTTTGCTAGTAATGAACATTTATTTTTTGTGTCAACTCTAATTTTACTGAGGTAGAGTCAATATTTGATGTGTATTTTCACTAATTATTATAATCTGGCTGTAAATTGATGAATTATATTTATTTGTGCAAAGACAATTGAAGCTGATTAATATATTGTTACTGAAAGTATGAACTGATTAAATGAAAACAGCTAAAACTTGTAAGAATAGAAACATTTGTCGTCAGTCCGTGTCCAGCTTCTCACTTCAGCTGTAACCGTTATCTCTAGAAAAGCATGAACGGTGCTCATAGAGGACAACGTTGATCACGTTTTGTCTTTTCCTCCTAATTTTCCAGGTAAAGTTGGACAGCAGCTCTTTGCCGATCGCAGTGAGAGACTCGGAGGAGAGACTGTCGAAAGGCGGCGTTTACCTGATGGAGACGGGACTCCACCTCTTCCTGTGGGTGGGAGCCAGCGTTCAACAGGAGCTGCTCCTCAACATCTTCGGCACGCCGAGCTTCAGCCAGATCGACTCGAGCATGGTGAGAAGAAACGAACCTGCTTCAGTTTGTGTGGCTGCTCCCTGCGTGGGGCTTAATCTGGATTATTTGTGAGGGGAAACAAACCAGATGCTTTTCTTTGAATCAGCTGACGTTTTAAAGGGATTTGTGAGAGTTTTGTTGTCGTGTGTGGAAATGTTGTGTATTCTTTCTGAGTGTTGCTGTTTTGTTTCAGACGAGCCTTCCTGTTCTCGACAACCCGTTCTCACAACGACTCAGAGAGATCATCGACTCCTTCAGAGCGCAGCGCTCACGATACATGAAGGCAAGCTGGTTCTTTCCCTTATTGCATATAAATATATTCATTCAACTTTTATTTGTACAGGTTAGTCTCATTGAGCCACAAGGACTCATTTACAAGAGAGCCCTATTCAATATATATAATATATACTGTATGTATGTGTATATGTATATACAAAATGCCTCAAATGTTTTGCTAGAAGTAAAAATAAATCCTCATTTTATTTTATTTTTTATATATGAACACACATACCTTAAACTATCGAATCTATTTAGGAAAAAATGTATTAAATAACTTAATCACTGTTCAAAATTTACAGCAGGGGATAGTATAATTACTGAAGTTGAGCTGCCTGAACTATTTGAAATGTTGGCCAAGTATTTGAAATAGCTAAACTTCCTTTCCCAAAATTAAGAATTTTTACTTTAATTTACTTTAATAGATATTGACTGCTTTTTTTTGTTTGTTTTCTACTCTTTATGATAAAATGGAATTTAATTTATTTTATATATCCTAAATTGGTACATATATGTATTTTAAATTTGTTCCAACTGTGTTAATTTTCTAACTCCATCTTTTTCTGAACAGTTTATATAAAGCTCAGGAGCAGTAATTTGAGCATATATACTTTGTGTAATCCCATCATTGAGGTCATCAGATCTCATAGCTTTTTTCCTGACAGAAAATTCTTCTTTTTATAAATTCTGATCTACAAAATAATAATAATTAAAAAAACTAAACATTGTTTCCTATTTGAGGCAAACTTGAAATCTGACAGTCGGCACATCTGATGGACTTTCTTTTGATAAATTTGATCCGGCAGCCTCTTTACGTTAAGTACAGACAAGCTAAGGCTACAGAAGGCACAGTGTATTTCCTGGGTGTGCTTTGCTCATGTTTCAGCTGCAGTGGTATCATTTAATAGAATACTGTAAGATTAAAATATTTGCTTGGGCCTTGGGTAACGTGAAGTATTCCCACGGCTCTGCAAAAGCTAATGTGCAAATTTGTTTTATTTATTTATTTATTTGTTTGTTTATTCATTTATTCATTCATTTAAAATAAACAAAAGAAACAAAACAAATTCATCAAAAAGAAAAAAAACACTGACAAGGGTGCAGAAAGAAGAAGAACATTCTTATACCTGCCCCTTATTTAAAAAAATATAAAATAAACAACTCAGACTTGAACAATCCTCAAAGCAAAAACGAAAAAACAGGCATCCTTCACATGGCACCATACTTTCCTAACAATTTTAACTTAATCATCTTTTTAAACATAAATTGATTTAAAAAAAATTATGGTGATATCGAGACAATTCCATAATCGTATTCCCTGAATTACAACGCAGCTCCTTCAGACCAGTTCTAAATGGAAGTTTTACAAACATTTCCATTCCCTTAATGTTATAATGACTCTCTTTTTAACTAATTTTAATTGAATATTTGGGGGTAATGTTTTTTTTATGAGCTTCATACATGACTTGCAAAATACTATATTCAACCTAATCATAACATTTTAAAAATTTAAACTGATGAAACAATATATTTGTTGGGTGACCATAGCATTTCCTGCTAATAATTCTTGTAGCTCTTTTTTGTAAAATTAAAATAGGGTTTGTAATTGTTTTGCATGCTTTTCCCCAAACTTCAATACAATAGATTAAATATGGAACAATCATTACATTATACAATATATACAAAGCTTTGTCATTCAAAAACTATTTTACTTTATACAGTATTGCAATTGATTTAGCTATTTTTATTCTTAATTTACATGAGATTTCCATGTCAGCTTCTCATCAATAACAACACCCAAAAATGTTATTTCATTAACTCTATGAATTTCAATACTGTCACTTTTAATTGAGACTTTGATAATTTTATTTTTATTACTAAATATCATGTAGTTTGTTTTTTTCCCAATTTTAATAACTTAAGATGGAACAAAGTTTGTATTTTTACGAATTCTGCCTGTATCCTCTCTAACATCGGTTCAATATCTTTACCCGAACAAAAAAATGTGGTATTATCTGCAAATAAAACACACTTCAAAAGCCCTGACACATCAACCAGATCATTCACATACAAATTAAACAACTTTTGTCCCAACACAGAGCCTTGAGGAACTCCACATCCATTCACACAAAATTCAGATCTTACATCGTTTACCTGTACAAACTGTCTCCTATTATTTCAAATAACTGGATAGCCACTGTAGTGCTAATCCTCTTTGTTTTGTTTTAAAATGTTGTTTTAAAGCTAATGCTAATGTGAATCTTGTCCTGAAAATTAAATACCATGAGGTAGCTAAGCTACCTCCTGGTTCAAATAACTAGCTGAACTGACTTCTTACAATAAATAGTTTTACAGCCGTATCCACGATTTTAACAGAGAAAATCTGTCGGTCATTCAGGGATCCTTTCGTTTTCTCGGAAAAGCAGAGATTTTAATATAAAACCCTGCTCCGCTCACGTTGTTGTCTCTGCTTGTTTTGCAGCTGATGGTGGTGAAACAGGAAGACCGAACCGAGCTGATATTCAAGCACTTCTTAGTGGAGGACAAGAGCGCCAGCGGGGGAGCGTCGTACGTCGACTTCCTGTGTCACATGCACAAAGAGATCCGGCAGCTTCTCAGCTAGACCCGTCACCTTTAAGACCCCCGTCACCACCCTTCCCCAAACACCCAGCCTCTCTCACCTTTCACTCCTCTCCCCCAGATTTTTAACCATGTAAACTAAAACTCTCCTTGCTGTCAGCTGAGCAGCAGATGACATGTGTGTGTGAAAGTGTTTGGAGATGAGGATGTGGTGTTTAGTAAAGATTTACTCCACCTCAAATCTACGGCTCCAACACAGCAAAGAGCAAAAACCCCAACGAGGAAGAGTCATGTACATAAACAAGTAAACATTATGTATGCAACAGACTGAGTGAAGGAGAAAGCTGATAAAACTGTAGTTGCTGTACTGTCTATTATTAGCACTGAAAGGCTATTATTATTATTGTTGATGTTTTTTTTGGGAAGCAACTTCAATAGCAAACACTTTTTATATGATTGAGTTCTGATTCAGTGACAGACATCTATGTATAAAAATTAAACGAAATAAATGCTGTTCTAGATGTCTCTTATCCACTTTAATCATGGCCTTAGTAACCCCCCCCACCCCCACCTCCTCTCATGCTGCTTCATGTGTGCTTGTTTTCACATTAGAGAGGATTAGCCGCCGTTTTGCCCCGTTTTTAATCTGCTGCGGTGAATCCTAATGCAAGCATCTGGATTTAGGTGTAGCTCAACCTGGACCAATACAAAATTTATTTAAAACTTCCCTTTAAAAGTCAAATATTTGTTTTTAAATGGTTGATGTAAACTGAAAATAAAGCAGTTTTAAGACTAATTAAATGGAGCAGATTTGTTTAATTCTGTTTTATTAAACAATGCCAACATCTGGCTCAGATTTCTGGACTGTTGGGAACCAGATGTGCACTTTAGATTTATTTGCAGCACAGCGGAGGAGTGGGAGATTTCTGAGGCGGGGGAGCTTTCCAGCTGAAACTGTCATCACTGATGTGTCGTGCTGCAGACTTTATGTTAATCACAAATTTGAATGAAAGGAAAGTTCCAGTAGAAAATATTAAAAAAATAAATAAATAAATAAGAAATGACAGTGGATGAGAGAAGTTGTTTTCAGTTGTCTTCACACTGAAGGTAAAAACTGTTCGGTGTGTAAATAAAAGTATAAAATCTGTACAGAATAATAGAAAATGACTGTTTTAAAGAAATGCCTGAGCAGCCATGTTGGTTTCATGGGTTCTGTGTCACAAACAGCCGAGATGTGAACTTTGCTGAAAAAGGAAGGACGGGGAGCTTGATTTGTTTCTGAATGTGTGTGCGAGTGAATGGGGGTCGGTCCTGGTGAATTTCTCACAAGGAACAGAGGGATCAGCCAACACGAATACAAAAACAAAAAAAAAACTTGATTGAACTCCGTTACCAGTTTCTGTTGTGATTTTGTGTTTGGCGTGCGCGCAGCCCTCTGTTTCGTCTTTACGTCCACCCTGACCCATCATCATGACTGTAAACTGAATTATTTCTGTTCCTTTTATTTTCTTCTTCTTTTAATTCCCCCCCATTGCCTCTTGGGACTGCTAATAAAACGATTGTTGAAATAAAGCGGCACATCCTGATTCTCCTGTTTGTGACGCCCACTGAGGAAAAAGCTGAACACGGAGTTTGATCAAATGCATCTGGACCGCATTTCACATCTGGTTCAAATTACGAAATACTTGTTTTAGTTCCTCTTTGTAGAAGACGTTTTGACTGGACTGTTTCTGTATAATTTACCAGTTGGGATTGTTGTGTTTCCTGTAATGCAGAGTATTGGGATTATTTTATATGAATAACCCAAGACTATATTGTTCCTTTCAAAACAGATTTTGTTTTACAGTAGTTTATATTGAAGCAAAAACACGATTCTGCATTCTGCTGAACCTTTAATGCCAGTTTAAACGTGGGTCTTTTTGCTGATAACATACAGAGTTGGAGCCATTTTGGTTCATTCTTGATAAAGTACTGTCTAATCTGCCGTAACGCAAGAGGTCACGTTCAGGATGTGTGCTGACACACAGCCGACAGCCGTCTTGAATTGACTTGAATTTTATCACTTGTGGATGTTTATCCAATAATTACTTTGAGAGTTTCATTAAAATCCATCCACGTGTTCATGACTTATACTGTTAACGCGTACAAACGCCATCAATAGAATCGACTGGACCTTTTTATGTCATTACACCTAAATACAATGAAATATTGGTTTGCTTCCCAGAGCAAAAGTAAAATCAGTAAAATATAAAACTATTTAGTATAAAAGGTACTGATTTAAAACACTCCAAATGTGCAACACAAGTAGATTTAAATTATACAAGTTGTCCCTTATTCTACTTATTCAGTTCTTATTATAGTTTTTAAATACAGTAACTGCTGATTGATAAAACTATTTTAAAATCTGTTCTTGTCTTGATTGACCTTTGCCTTTTCCCTGATGGTAACGGTTCAAACTGTTCTTGTCCAGGGTGACCCGTGTCCTTTATGAGGTTGTGGGCTTTTTCTATGCAGCAGGGACTGTGTAGATCTTCCACAGAAGAGTGCAGCCCATGATACAGTGCGTTAAGATGCTCTCTATGGAGCATCGGTAGAAAGATGTCAGCAGTCTCTGGGTGGTGGTGTTCCTCCTGAGCACTCTCAGGAAGTACATTCTCTGCTGGGCCTTTTTTAACAACTATGAGATGTTCACGTTCCAGGTCAGATTCCCCTCGATATGGACTCCCAGGAAACTGTAGTCAGCTACTCTCTCCACACGGTCTCCGCTTATAATCAAGGGTGGGACTGCCATTTTCTTTTTCCCGAAATCTATGATCAGCACCTTAGTCTTTGAGGTGTTGAGTAGCAGATTGTTTCCCTTGCACCAAGTAGTCAGTTGTTCCACCTCGTCCCTGCAGGTGGACTCATCCCCCCCCCCCCCCACCCCCCGCACACACACACGCACACACACACATCTGCAATTTGACTAACGTGTTGCTGTGGTGAGCAGGGGTGCAGTTGTGTGTAGAGGGCATAGAGCAGGGGGCTCAGCACACACCCCTGTGGGACTCCCAATATGAGTGATAAACCCAAGCACAAGCATCTTGAGAGAATATAGTGGAATAAAAATATTACAGTATACCTGTTGGCTTAATCATATAAGTAATGGATTCAATTTTACATGTAGGTAATTCTTAGGGATCAGATAAATGTATAAGGGAACTTGGAAATTATGTGTTCCTTTTTAAAATTATTAAAAAAAATAATTTGCAGCTTAGGAATTGTTGCATTTTCTTGGTAATGCTGGTTTTAACATGGAATTTGACAATATTTCAAAAATAAATTTTAAGTCTAACACAATACCAAATGGAAAGATTTACACTTTAACTAGTTACCCTAAGTAAATCTTTGGAAAATGTTTATTAAGTCAGAAATAAGCTCAAGAACATCAGTTTCATCTTACTTGGTCTAGTAATTTGATCAGTAAGCACGGTGGTGGTAGCATCATGGTTCATGAACTTACACTGATCTGAAACGAGGAGTTGGAGGAAACAACAATATACAAAATATAAGGTTTCAAAAGTTTATTTTCATAAAATATTACAATAAAATAAAATAGATATTTTATAAAAAATATGGTAAAAAAAAATAGTAGTACAAAATTTTCCAGTACAAACACAGCTAAAGGTTGGAAACCACCATCAGATATATCATTATGTATTCATGTGATAAAACTCTATAAAATTGTTTACAAAAGCAACACATACGGGAGACAATGATGTATAAA